AGTATAATGTCACAAGATCTTTACTTAAACAGGGTTACTGTTAAATGGTTATTTAATTTTATTTTTAGAATAGTGTTTGGATGAACTCATAAATATAGTAACTTTAGAATTCGTTCACTGTTAGAATAAAAAGGAACAACCGAAGAGTAAATTAACTAAAATCAAATTTTTAAGCACTAATAAATATATGTGAAGCAAATACAAAATAATATCCTAGGATCATAGCTATAATTGTCGCGTTTAGATTGTAACTTAACATATTATAGGTTTCAGATTTATGACGAATAGAGATGCTGTACTCACTTTAGTAAATCACTATTATTTTTAAATAAAATGCTGAACGAAATAAATGAATAATGCAAACCTTGCACATCATCATAATTACAGAAAAGGTAATTAATCCCGCCCTAGTATTTTTGCCACCAGACCTCAAAGGGAAATTTATTCTAATTCACAGACATATCATTCATTTCACTCGTTTTCCTGTTATTCTGTAAATTTATACTTTTGAGTAGTGTTGAAGTAGATATAAGGAAGGTGTAAGCTGGGTGACACAGATTTACATTTACGTCGAGTGTTTTTTACTCACTCTTATAAATAATTATGATCTCTTACCAGAGTGCATATGGGCGTCTGTGAATGTTTATCTGAATACTTCGTCACATTAAAGCTAGATATTTGATTTTCGGTTAAAAACACTTTTTATATACATGTACGACGACTCATTACATACACGCTTTCATTCATTTGTTATCCCTTCGGTCTATCTGCTCGTTTGGCCGGAAAATAAATTTGTTCGAAATAAAGCTTATCCGACAGTACATAGTTTTGTGACTTAGTCGTTACCACACCGGCAGAGAAACATGATACGGAAATGTGTTTAATTCAAATAACTACGAAGTAATACAGATATGTTGGCAATAGGAACCTCCAACAGAAAACACTATATTGGTAAGCCTGATTTCGAACAAAACTTAGCATTCAAAACCTTATGCACTTGACGAACGAACGAATGCAATACAATCAACGCATTCGAGCAGCAATGCAGATGACTCAACATCTCGAATCCGACGCAGACAACGAATTCAATGCAGCAAGGACAAATATATTCACAAACCGTATTGCCTTAAGGATACTTTTTCCATGTATTGACACCTATCATTCACTTATTATTATCATATTTTCCACCAAAGTTTTGGGATTAATTTTGCTACTCGTATTGACATTATATCATGACATTTACGTGCTTATATTACTCACTCATCGACTTAATATTAACATTGTATAAACACAATGATATTCACAACTAATTCAACTGCTTTTTTCAATAATGCAAAGTTTCCCCGCTTGAAGTTGGTTTGTCCAATTTTTCCATGTCAGTTCTCCTGACTATTATATTCTCATCCACGTAGCTAAGGTCACTTTTATATTTTCATGTCACATACGCATTTATCTTTTCAATAAAGTCTCTGATTATGTTTGTGAACATCTGTAATTTTAATAAGCCTCTTGTTAAGGCCGACCATCTTTATTATGGTTGGATTATCGACCGAAGAAATGGCTTTAAGAGACTAATTATTTATCCTCATGCACTTTCGTGGCTATATTTCCGACGTATTTACCAGTCAATCACGTATCGAAACTGATAAGTAAATTGGAGGTCTAGCGACACGAGAGTCGTTGGATCGAGTTGGGTGAACCTCCTGCATGCTGACAGTAGCATAGCCGCAACTACCCCAACACTATAGGTAGTAACAACTTATCGCAATGCGTAACTAACGTTCGTTCAAAGCAATTATACACAACAATTGTCGTTCATGATTTTCCGACGATGATCTTAACCGAACGTCGGTTACAGATATCGGGCTGTTTAGTTTTACAACTTATGAGTTTTAATTACATCGATTTCTAATCATTAAACTTTAGACGCTTCAAAACATTTTCAGATACACACATCATTCTTACATTTTGTTGGAATCACAGATAATTTCCCGTCATATTTATTTACACGATCTACTCAGTTGTAATACGCATAAGCTCTAGATGATTTATCACGTTTTATTTTAACACTCAAATTACTCATGAAAATACTACTTTTTGCCCATACGTTTACAACATAAATGCGTGCTATATCCTCATTATTTTGCTCATTATCACATGTGAACACTTTTATTTGTCTGCCCATATACGGTTTTTGTGCTTTTTTACATAAGATTGACATTCGAACTATACATTTGTCACTGTAATCTACCGAACATGCATTTTTTTCGCTGCGTAGTGTTATACATCCTTCACATACATTTTCAGTGTTATTTTCAAAATGGCTTATTTCTCAAACTAATGTACATAGTCCCACACGGAGGTCGTTGTTATTTTGACACTATTTACGTCCGCGAGGACTACTCTAGATTTTGAACAAACCAATCTAGTCTTTGTGTTTATCTAAATATATGTGGCGTCAGTTATTTGCTTGTGACCTTCATTTTTTTATGTTAGAGAATTTATGTACTTGTTTTTTATCACTTTACTCATTTCGTCACGTTTTTAGCTTAGTTTTCTGAGTTAAAATACTGAATAGCTCCTTACTAGATTGAGTTGGCACACTTGTCTTTTTCGATCGTTTCTTTTATCGTCAACCTGTGTCAACAATGAGTGAAATATATTTATACGGGAACCATTTGATGTACGAGGTTAAGCGGGATATATATTTCGTTAACATAATCGCTTTAGCATTTAATTGCGTAACATGATGATAGAACACAGGATTGATACAGTGTAGCAAGGAACAAATACTTTATGGTACAAAGGTGGTTACGGAACGGATCACATGCCAGATGCCAACCGCCTTCTAGCGGATGTCTTGCTCCTTCGAATTGTCGATGACATCAAATATACGACGGAGAAGTTAGCGATTGTACACCCCCAAGGTCTAAAACTATACAACAAAGAGACGCATCCGTCGGCGTAATCAACGAGTGGAGTTGTTTGTTTCTCGTTAAAAACCAAACTACATTAGTTTTTAATAGATACCAGGGTCGAAGTATAATGATGCGTATCTCTGCCTGTTAAGGGGAAGGCTCGCGTTCAATTACGCCAAGTAGTCAATTTATAAACCTGCTATTTGACTTCCTGATTATCAGGTAATTTTAACAAAACATATATTCACTAACCTAATTCACGTTAGTGAATAACGTCAACATAAAATTTCTATGTGTGACGTTTCCATACCAGACTGATTATCGTTAAAAAAGTACACGTGCTGCATAAATCAAAACAGGTTCTCTCCCAAATTACTGCCACATCGACAGGCCTTCAATATACCTGTTACGTACATGTACGGCTTGTGATTCCGAAGGCTATCTTGGTCAATAGAACGTTATTAGAATGAAGTACATCCCATATTTTGGAATAACCAGTCATCTGTCACAACTGTGAACTTACTTTTCGACCTACCAAATCCACAACTTTTGGTTATTTGAAAGTAACCTCTGTATAACCTACATATTGTTTAGTCATTTTTATAGGTTTTCATTGTTATTTAAGTACTTGAAGTTTGGCCCACCAAAATTATAAGATGAGCCTACGTTTGTCTCGACCATACTAATATTTCCACATATATATTGCTACATTCCTTATCATCATCATATTAATTTAAAACGTTTGTTTATAAATAACATGAGGATCGAAAATACTTCCAGAAAGATCCTTTCAGATTTAAAAAGAAAAACAAAAACAGGTAAAGACCATAGTAAATACAATTTTTGAGTTTAGGCTTGCAAAGCACGGCGCAAATAATCCGAGAATCTAGTTCGCTTAGATAGGAACACTTCTCTTCACTTGAGGAATACGATCCCAGACGTAGTAGGGTTACCACCGGTCGGAGTTTCAGCTACGGTCTGAGGCTTCATTGGTCAGGTGCCGAAAGAAACTCCATATGATAGAAGATAAAAGCCGAAGTGATGCAGCACACGTGCCTCAGAAGAAAAGCTACTACTGACTGCTTGTGATTTTGATGACAGAAAACCCTCCCAACTTATAAGATACATGAAGCAGGTAGCTGGTTTCCATAGGCCAGACGAGGATGTGAGGAAAAAGGTGGCTGTAGCAACTATCGTACAATCTTCGGCAAGTACTGAGTGTGTTCGGTAGATCAGTTAAACTCCATAATTTAGCAAAGATGCCCGATAAAATGTTGGATGCGTATCCAGACGCTGACAGTGTCAACATCCCATCGACAGCAGTGGAGACTAGCACTAGTGGTTAATATTTAGCAGCACTAAAACAACAACTAATTGACCTCGAAAATAGATCTGCTATGCCACAAGCATCAATATCCAACGTTTAGATCAGACGTACATGGTCATTATCCCGAAAAACGTTGTCCATAAAACTGCGTTCTCAGTTACCAAAAAAACATTCGGAAAGGTATGTTGGTACAATAAAAGATAGGGGTTTGCTGCAAAGACAGTGGAATGTTTCCACAAATCATGAAGACCCTCGGGGGACATTGTCAACCAGGCAGTAGTGGCGAGAGTTGTCACTAATCACCCATCGAGCTGCCTAATCCAAACCATTAGCAGAACTTCCAGTGCCAATATCTTAGTAGACACTGGTGCCGAGGTCGATATTATTACACCAGTGTTATCAAGGAGGTGTAATTTCAAGCAGTCAACAAAACCACAATCTGCACGTATAGCGAACAATAGCTTATAATGAACCCTGAGTCGCTTTGGAATTTTCGGGGATTTTTGTGGCAGCAACGTAGAGATAATAATAATACGGAAAAGAGTTAATATTTCAGTCTCCCACCTGGTGCTAAGACAGCCATTCAAAATGTTAAATCAGTGTTATCAAAAGACAATAATGTTAACATATCTGAGTCTAAACCTTACGACTCATCTCATTTTGTGTATCGACGCTTGATAACCAGCAGTGGTGGCAGTTTCGCAACAAGTAGACGATGCAATTACATCGCAACAATTTTTAACATCTTATAACATGTAATACAAAAGTTATTTATTTAAATTTTTAACACTGCTTTTTCTAATTATAAATGGGAACGACACATATTTCTTCAAATGCAATCTTCAATAAAAAGACTACTGAATAATCTTTTATTGTTGCTGATATCTGTGTTCTAGTGATGGAAATCAACTGTTATTATTCTGTAAACAATATAGAAAATGAACAAGTCAAAAGTCTCTAACAAGAGTAGAGATGTCTGAGAACCGTGTATCCAAATTAGCGGCTTCTGTAAAAGCTGAAACAAAACACAAAATATTAAGTTACGTTTTCAACTGTCAGTAAATTAAAATTAATCGTAAGCGAATGTGATTTTATGCAAAACAATTCGGAAAAAATGTTCATAAAAGCTTACAACTGATAGAAATGGAGAAATGTAAATGGAATTAATGAAATGGTCGATGAACTACACTACTGTGTAGTTATCAAGTGATTTCAAATTTCAATTGCTATCGAGGATTAGCAAATCATGATAACTGTTGTTAAAACATAGTTTATGTACATAAAAACAGTTAATATGATCATTTTTTATTTTCATGGTTGAAAGCATGAGTCTATTGAAGCTAGACCACCATGGAAAACCTGGAACCACTGGACGGCCGTTTCGTCCTATTATGGGACTCCTTAGCAGTACGCGTCCACAATCCCGCACCCGCTTTAGTTTCTTTTCACGTTTTATGATTTGTTTCCACATAATAATTTTTTACATTAATAAGACCGAAGAATAGTAGGATGATCAGTAACGTAAACTTTTAAAATGAATAACTATACACAAAAGAAAATAGTGAAACTTGATGTATTTAATAACAGTGCTGAATTATAAGAAAATATAACTAAGTATTTAGAAAAGTGTTATTTCTAACATCATATTCCTCATACAGTATATTTTGTGGCTTTTTATTGAACACAAACAAACAATGAAATAAGTTAAGATACGGCCCTGTAATTAATCAATTAGCCTGTACTTTGGAATGGATTAAATTAGCATTGGATTGAAATTCAATAGTCGTATACAGTAACTTGGATGAGGTGCAATACAATCGCTTTTACCGTAATGGGACGGCCTAGAATAATAAGACAGCGACGGTCATACTGTAATTTATATATTTCTAATATATTCTATACTTCATCTTTCAAATGAACGGAGATGATGGTAATTATGTTCACGTTTCCAATGTATTATCTTTCAGATTTTCAAAAGATGATCTTTTAACTGAAGACTCATAAACCTCGAGGATCCAAAGCTGCACTGATGTAAAATGTATGAGATTCTTTGCATCTAAATACTAATGCTTTGTTTGGATTTGTGAGGGTAACAAATTGCATGTAATAACTCATAATTTATCTGCTACTCAACATTCATCGTTCTGGTGCCAGGTGCAAAATGAAACTCGATGCAAAATGGTAGGATGTAACAGTGTATCACTGGGTTATATTAAAAGTGCAACTTATTTTCCGAATACAGGTCTAACCACACAGCTTCGAGTTACACTGTTTGCATGAGGGAACTAGGGATACATACTACTCGCCTGCTGAAATTGAAGTAGGTGGATTGAGGTTTGAATACGCAACCGACTGTTGAGAAACCCACTCTTGAAACCACAGCTCCACATGTTATTGGATACAATATGCGGAGAAACCCATAATTTTCGAGACCTTATATAAAAAATGTAAGAGTTCTTAAGGTAGTGTTTACACCAATACACATTTTAAAGTTATTGTATGAATATTTATCACTAAACGATAGGAATGATGTCATAGTCAGCAACAAAATCGGTATTTTTCCCTATAAACTTACCATCGCGAAGATTAGAAAGATGATATCCAGCTGAGTAATCCAATGATGCTACCTCAAACAACGATAAAATTTTATCGATTCTTTTCAAAAGTTCATCTGAAAAACAATTAAAACCACTGAAACTATTGGTAAGAAAAAAACGAAGCAATTAATATCTAATGATTCATTATATAACCAAATGGAAATGTTCCATGAAAAAGCGAAAACAATTTCATGTTGTACTGTCATAGTTATTATGTTCAATTCTTACCAACTACTTTGAATCAACATTTTCTTAAATTTTATAATTAAGGTAGATGATTACTAAAGATAAAAATTTCATAGTTCTAACTTATTAATTTGATTAAATTGCCAACTGGTTTAGTCTTCGTAATCTGAGAACTCTCTTAGGAACTACAAGAATATTCTATTATTTATTCATTCTACCGGCAAGATCGGTGAAGAGGTAATAAAACGAAATATATTACTTCGAAGTAAGATTTTGACTAGACTGAACGCTTTCTATGATCATATACTTCATTTATGAAACAGTTAATTGTATTTAGGAAAAAAACATTTCACTAGTATAGACTTAAACAAGAACATTTTGAAAAAAAAATAATGGAGTTTTAATTGAAACTTGATCGGTTTTTATTGGTATATGCATCCTATGCGGATTGTTTTGATATAGCTATTTTGTTACAGTTTGTATAGAATAAATGAATTTTTTTAATTAGCAATGAAATAAAGTACGTATATTACGTCCTCCTCTGAACTCATATGAACAAACAAACGCTAAAATACAGGTACATCTAGCTCAAGAGTCCAAAAAGAATAAAACACGAAGCCAGAATTTCACTTCTGTTCATAATTCATTAATTTTACATGATAAATATTATGATTAAACGCTTGAATCGGTTTACTAAGATGTAAAATAAGATGAAATATTAATCTCTTGAAAAAGTCTCAGTTAAAATTCTTATCTATAAAATAAAATCTCTTAAATATTTGTGATATACTTTACAACTACTTCACATTGAATTTTGAATGAGTAATGACTTAAATTCAGTCATTACTATGGATTTGGTTACAATAGATAACTATTATTTAGTATAAACATACACAGAAACAACCAGTAGAAATTGATTCATTTTATTTATGGGTAAAATCCTGTGTTTTCATTGAATTGCCAATAGCATAACAACAACACATGGATTGGATAAATGAAGTTTATTAGTTTTTTTTTTTAAAAAACACACCTTATAATTGAGATAATGAGAATACATTTGAAAGATAATATTTTAATTTTACTAACCAGGAATATCTGATAGATATTTTTTCATTTGATCACATACATTAAAACTGAATACTTCTGACCATTTGTAATAAACTATCCACATTTTAATAACTGTACAAATATATTCTATACAAAGAGATGGTTCATTTACTGAAAATTAGATAATAGATATATATATATATATATCTTTATTAGGCTTTGTAACAGATAAATAGTTATGTTTATAAACATAGATGAGAATATTGAAGTAATCAAGGTACTTTTTTTAAAAAAATTATTGATATAGATTACGCAACGAATTATAAGGAAGGACAAAGTGAAAATTATGATAGTATGATAATGTTCAATTTGTTTTAATGATCTTGATCTGAAATTTGAATATTACAAAAAGATTACTTTCAAGACAAGTCCCAGAGTAGTACTAGCAACAACAGTATCAATAGTGGGAGAAGATATTATGTATAGAAGATATGATTAGAAAGAATGAATGAATTTGCGAATTTCAAGTAGAAGTATTTCAACTAGCAACTGTCACCACTAGTTACGATATCTGCGAGGTTTCTAACTAGATAACCTCTACCTACATACCTAAACGGCTTAGTCAAACAACCAGTAACTTCATGGACCGATGTCAAGTCTTGGTTTGGATGCTCTGAGCATTTTTTTCAACCCATTCCATCTTACTTCCATTTAGAATGATCACGGGACTATTTCACACTTATTCATAAAACGCTGAATATGCGACAGTTTGCAATTATTCATAGTGACATTATGTTTAGACGATAATCTGTAGTATCAGTGATATAAATGACGCCGTAATCCACAAGAATAGGTAATTTTAAGGATAGCCTTGAATAAAATACTTTACTGAGACAAAAGCTGAAAATCTAATTTTATTTAGAACAGAATAAAATGCACACAATTTTTGATACACACGTATGGTTAAGAGACTGATACACTGACATAACAATTAGAAATCCTGAGTAAAACAGTGACAGTTCAAAAGTGTTTCAAGCCACAACACCAAACACAACAAAGAAGAAAACGATACAAGTAGAGAAGTCCCAAATAAAAAAGTACTAAATTTTTTTTTGGAAAGTTAAAGAAACAAAGTATGTCGTTTATTAGTTGGTTTTTAATTATGACAGACAGACCAGAAGATCATTGGTTGTTTATATTATTATCATGAGAACCTCAAACAGAAAGACCAGCTTCGTAATACCTAAAACAATAGACAGGTTTAACGGATGAATTGGAGTTAATTTTCTAGTCAACTTATATTTACTTCGAACTTATGAGATTCATCCATGAATTTCACCATTACTCTGAAAACCTACATAAAACATGTTTAAGTAACTTGAATATATACTGCTATAAGTATATTATGTACGGTCAAATCGGAATTTTAGAACATAACCATTGGAAATTCTTATTGCGATGATGCAATGGGAAGACGAAGTTTATCAGAATTATGTGATATATTAGCGCAATACATTTCGAACAATCTGATCACACATATACTTTTTAAGACATTTTTATATGAAAATTAAAAGGTCAACTAGCCAGGTTAAGGTAAGAAAATAAATAAAGTACACAAAAACAATGTGATGACTACTCTGGATAATAAATAAGCATTACCAGGGTAGGTTAAGGGTAAGAACAAATTATAGAAGGGGTTTTGTGGAGATTTAGTATTTATCATTGTTGAAAGCGTGAGTCAACAATAAGAACAAATTGTTTTTGAACACATAAAGGGGGTTTCAATTTCCGTATAGCCAAGGCTTCAATAAACCTTAGTATACGTCCTTGAAGGCTTTTGTACAACACTACAAATGCTGATTTGATGTCAACCTTATGACCAGTTTCAACTAAATGTTTCTCAATAGAGGAAGATGTTTGTCTATCCTGTGATCTTATTTAACCATTCGAATTCATTTGGTTCTGTAGCCATTTAGGTATGTGTTCCGCCACCCTTATTTGCAAATCACGATTGCTCCTCCCTATGTACGTGTTTCCGCACATACATGTAAATTGGTATACACAATGGGATGTGACACAATCGCTTATGTGCTGTCTAGGTTTTTGGTGAAACATCGACCTTGTCTTTTCAATGATGACAAGTTGAGCTTCATAGAATGTCCTGTTTATGGCTAATTTTAGTCTCCGTCTCAACATGAGACTATTAGAGTCACTCCTAAATGGTAATGTAATATAAACTCGCTTTTTGGGTGCCAGAAGTGTCATAGGTCTAATCGTATTGCAACCCTTCCAGCGGTTTATGAACTTAAATGAATAACCATTATTCATTAACGTATTAGTTAAAAGCCTCGTTTCTACTTCAATAGTATCACTACTACAAATACGATTGATTCTATTGAGTAAGCCCTTAATTAAACCACGTTTGTAATGAATTGGGCAGTGACTATGGAAATTAAGGTATTGCCCCGTCCATGTCGGCTTTCTATATATAGAACGTTGGATGGAACCATCTTCTCTTCTACTGATCAGTATATCTAGAAAAGGAAGTTGGTTGTTCTTCTCTTCTTCGCACGTAAGAGAAATATGCTTCTGACTTGTATTGAGTTCTTTTAACAAGCGGTTCACGTCTTCACATTTATCCCCTATGATTATGATATCATCAACGTATCGTCTATACAGACACATCTTTTGGATTGAGTTTTCAGCTAAATTTTCAACATACCCCATGAACACATCCGCCAGCAACGGTCCTAAAGGACTACCCATAGCTACGCCATCAATTTGTCGAAAGTGCTCACCTTGAAATGTGAATTTTACATTGTCAGTGCATAATAATAATAGATCTTTAAGAGTTTCAACAGGAAATGGCAATGGAAGATTATTAAGTGAAATATAGCCACATAAAATATAAATAGTTTTTCTCAGGGGTACATTTGTAAATAAAGAGTTCACATCGAAAGAACACATTGTCTTTGTTTTGATGTTCATATCCTTTAAGTATTTAATTAAATCAAATGAGTCAATCAATGAATACTTACAAAATTGATGTCGGATAGGATTTAATACTTTTGTAAGCCATTTCGCTAGTTTGTGTGTAGGTGACCGACACATTGATAGAATTGGACGTAAAGGGATATTAGGCTTATGTATTTTTGGCAATCCATATAAATGAGGATACACCGAACCCATAGGTTTTAATAAATGAAACTCATCCTTGTTTATAGTGTTCATGTTTAACAATTTTGTTAGATTGGAGTTTACTTCCTTTCCTAATTTATGTAGTCCATCAGAGTCAACATCAGCCATGAATTTGCTCTTATCACTGAGAATCAATTCCATTTTATTTATGTAATCGGACTTATTCATAATTACAATACCAGATCCTTTATCTGGTTTAAGTATAATAATATCGACATTGTTTCGGAATTCTTTTAAAGATTTGAAGTGCTGAGAAGTTAGTATGCTTCTCTGCTTCGGTCCAGAGGAGTGAAATTGATGCGCTATATCCACTAATTTAGCTTTAAACCAACATTGATTCTCTGAGGATGAGGGAGTTAAAGTACTTAATTGATCATAAAGGTTTTCAAATTGGGCGTTGATTGTCAATTCAGAAATTTGTGTAATAGGGACAGAAAAGTTGAAACCCAGAGAACGTGCCTCCTTTTCATGAACGGACAATACAATAGAGGATAAATTTGTGACATATTTATCAGGATTAATTGGGAAGGAAGTGATTAGATGAACTTTTTAACCTTAAGTGCAAAATTATATCGGAACGTGTGAAACTGGAATTTTATGAATCTTGTTTGTCAAATCACATTTTCCCGAATCATTTATGTAAGAATCTTCGCTCAAGTAAATTACAACCAAATATTCCAAATCTTATTCGACTGACAATATCCTTTATAGACAAATGCCATGATAAGTTGAATAATTTAATTGAACTGCATACTCAAGCATTACCTGTGTTAGCAGAATTGTCTATAGTTTGCCATATCAAATTCATCAATTTTTGTAGTACTGTCACTTTGAAAACGAAAGAAGGGATCTGAAAAAAGCTGGAAAAATCTTTCTGTAACAATAACAATAATATCATTTCCCAATTAGTCCTGATAAATATGTCACAAATTTATCCTCTATTGTATTGTCCGTTCATGAAAAGGAGGCACGTTCTCTGGGTTTCAACTTTTCTGTCCCTATTACACAAATTTCTGAATTGACAATCAACGCCCAATTTGAAAACCTTTATGATCAATTAAGTACTTTAACTCCCTCATCCTCAGAGAATCAATGTTGGTTTAAAGCTAAATTAGTGGATATAGCGCATCAATTTCACTCCTCTGGACCGAAGCAGAGAAGCATACTAACTTCTCAGCACTTCAAATCTTTAAAAGAATTCCGAAACAATGTCGATATTATTATACTTAAACCAGATAAAGGATCTGGTATTGTAATTATGAATAAGTCCGATTACATAAATAAAATGGAATTGATTCTCAGTGATAAGAGCAAATTCATGGCTGATGTTGACTCTGATGGACTACATAAATTAGGAAAGGAAGTAAACTCCAATCTAACAAAATTGTTAAACATGAACACTATAAACAAGGATGAGTTTCATTTATTAAAACCTATGGGTTCGGTGTATCCTCATTTATATGGATTGCCAAAAATACATAAGCCTAATATCCCTTTACGTCCAATTCTATCAATGTGTCGGTCACCTACACACAAACTAGCGAAATGGCTTACAAAAGTATTAAATCCTATCCGACATCAATTTTGTAAGTATTCATTGATTGACTCATTTGATTTAATTAAATACTTAAAGGATATGAACATCAAAACAAAGACAATGTGTTCTTTCGATGTGAACTCTTTATTTACAAATGTACCCCTGAGAAAAACTATTTATATTTTATGTGGCTATATTTCACTTAATAATCTTCCATTGCCATTTCCTGTTGAAACTCTTAAAGATCTATTATTATTATGCACTGACAATGTAAAATTCACATTTCAAGGTGAGCACTTTCGACAAATTGATGGCGTAGCTATGGGTAGTCCTTTAGGACCGTTGCTGGCGGATGTGTTCATGGGGTATGTTGAAAATTTAGCTGAAAACTCAATCCAAAAGATGTGTCTGTATAGACGATACGTTGATGATATCATAATCATAGGGGATAAATGTGAAGACGTGAACCGCTTGTTAAAAGAACTCAATACAAGTCAGAAGCATATTTCTCTTACGTGCGAAGAAGAGAAGAACAACCAACTTCCTTTTCTAGATATACTGATCAGTAGAAGAGAAGATGGTTCCATCCAACGTTCTATATATAGAAAGCCGACATGGACGGGGCAATACCTTAATTTCCATAGTCACTGCCCAATTCATTACAAACGTGGTTTAATTAAGGGCTTACTCAATAGAATCAATCGTATTTGTAGTAGTGATACTATTGAAGTAGAAACGAGGCTTTTAACTAATACGTTAATGAATAATGGTTATTCATTTAAGTTCATAAACCGCTGGAAGGGTTGCAATACGATTAGACCTATGACACTTCTGGCACCCAAAAAGCGAGTTTATATTACATTACCATTTAGGAGTGACTCTAATAGTCTCATGTTGAGACGGAGACTAAAATTAGCCATAAACAGGACATTCTATGAAGCTCAACTTGTCATCATTGAAAAGACAAGGTCGATGTTTCACCAAAAACCTAGACAGCACATAAGCGATTGTGTCACATCCCATTGTGTATACCAATTTACATGTATGTGCGGAAACACGTACATAGGGAGGAGCAATCGTGATTTGCAAATAAGGGTGGCGGAACACATACCTAAATGGCTACAGAACCAAATGAATTCGAATGGTTAAATAAGATCACAGGATAGACAAACATCTTCCTCTATTGAGAAACATTTAGTTGAAACTGGTCATAAGGTTGACATCAAATCAGCATTTGTAGTGTTGTACAAAAGCCTTCAAGGACGTATACTAAGGTTTATTGAAGCCTTGGCTATACGGAAATTGAAACCCCCTTTATGTGTTCAAAAACAATTTGTTCTTATTGTTGACTCACGCTTTCAACAATGATAAATACTAAATCTCCACAAAACCCCTTCTATAATTTGTTCTTACCCTTAACCTACCCTGGTAATGCTTATTTATTATCCAGAGTAGTCATCACATTGTTTTTGTGTACTTTATTTATTTTCTTACCTTAACCTGGCTAGTTGACCTTTTAATTTTCATATAAAAATGTCTTAAAAAGTATATGTGTGATCAGATTGTTCGAAATGTATTGCGCTAATATATCACATAATTCTGATAAACTTCGTCTTCTCATTGCATTATCGAAATTTATCAAAGGGACTAATTGTTTTAAACTCTTATTGAACCATTTGTAGGTGAAATTTGTTACTCAGTCAGCCTGCCAGTGAGAACCAGAGAGCAACGGAAAGCCACTTTGATCTAGCATGGGACTCCTCAACATTAACTGTTCACAAGCCCTTCAGAGATTAGATAAAGGTCCTTCAGTTCTTCCGATAAATGCTTAACTGTTAGAATCATTGAATTGGCTTTCAACGGTATACGTTTCCAATTTCAATCAACTTGTAACATAGCGAGACAATAATTTTGCGCTTTTAGTGACGGGTATTTCACTTCACACATATCTAAACTCCATTGGTCACAGCTTTCCACTAGCACTGCACGAACTCACCTAGAAGAAAGTCATTATTGAACTGACTATGATAGTTTAGGTGAAGCGGTTTCGTGGAAATTATTCTGTCATGAAAAGGAATTTTAACATATTCCATTTAAATAAATAAAAGTATTTAAATGAACGTTATACAAAAAAGATATAACTAACCAATGAGAGAATCTACTAAAGAGATCCAATTACCAGCAAAAAATTTCAATAAATCACCAGGACTCAAAAGCCACATAAGTAAGTCGGTCTCCTGTAAACTGTCCTTCGTGTCGAGTAACAATGTATTCAGCAGACAACTGTTTATAAGTTCCAATATATTAGTAACAAGGATAACGAATGAACGCGTATTAGATTTCTGAGCAGTTATAATATTCGCGCAACAACTTTCCTTCAACCATTTACAAATCATATTTCCACGAAATGGTCTACCAGTTGAATTATATCCAAATAGATTAGCAGATAAGTGAGGATTTGAAGGAATTTTACACAGCTGAATTAAAATAGTTGAGATATTTGCAACAGATTGAAGGATTTTCGAATTATCCGTAGATGAAATTTGATGCGAGTTAGTTGACAGATGATGATTTTCAAAGAAATTCGTCCTAATTAGCAAAAGTACAATTATGATTTGAAATAAACAATATTTAAAGATGTACTGATGATGACTGTCACCATAGGGTTACATAATCTGGATTTTCGTAACGAACAAATTGACGTTTGGTCGACTTCAAATCAGTTACATTATTTGCTACTTCAAATACTAATTAACGAATTTTATAAATCGTAAATGTATTGATAGATCATCCCCAGTAGCTGTGACGACTGATATAATTAGGATAATCGAGTTGTTTATATTGAACATAGGAAAACATGGTACAAGAAAATAAATCAGACAAAACTACAAAACCAATGAAACTGAAAACTTTAATCAAATAAACAGTTTTTTAAGATTTGAGAAGCTACTGTCCTTTATTCTATGAAGCTAAAAATTAAATCAATAGTTCAGCAAGCTATGACCAGTGGTTGTATAAATGACATTGTCCTGTAAAGAAAAACATTCAAATTTAGCCAATATATTGCGATTTTTGAAAGAATACTCAGTGAGTCCTCGCAAGTTCAATAATATCCCACTACAATAATAATAATGATCGAGAGCTCATTAAAGGTTAGCTTAAAGATGCAACTACTGTAGTACTAGTGAGAAGCTTCGGCCACTGGAGTTCAACCATCCCGAGTATGAGACAGTTATTCACCGTAGACAATGGAAGATAATCGCTCAATGTCGTGAATTAAATAAAGTTAATTATTTATACCGTCGGATGCCTGCTCAATGATTTAGGGGTCCACACACGAGACCGAATATCCCCAGTTCGATTTCCACATGTGGGGTCACGGACGCGTAATCCTGATGAGTCCCACACTAGGAAAATGCTTCCTGGTTGTTAGTGGTGATCTAGCTAAGACTAGTTCGTAATTTAAACAGTAAAAATAATTTATTTAATGAAAATGCGGTCTTGAATCTTATCAAAATCAACTTTAAATCTGTACGTGACAGCAAAACATTTTATAAACTTACATCAGTGTATCCAGAATCGGTAAAACTGGAGTTAAGTATTTATTGAATAGTTCTTCAAAAACAGACATGATTTCAAAATCCTTTTCCAGTTCCATACAGTGTGTCTTAAAGTATAATTCAATCCAACTGAAATATGTTTCAAGTAAAATTGCACCAAGTGGTTTAATTTCATTAACCGACTTATCCCATAAGAAGTGTGTATCATTACATATTTCACAACTGGGATCCTAAATATTCAAGGAAAAAAAAACTTAAATTAATAGAGAAAACAGAACATTTTCAACTTTATTGTTTGTTAATCTAACAAAAATCTTAGTCTAATTTTTAGAAAAAATATGGATAACTGAGTACAGTACAGTGTAAGTGATTCAATAAAAAAAACTTTTAACATGTTTAGTAGTTAAAATAAAGAGCGTTTTAAAGTTGGTTTTCAGAACAAAAGTACAAATGAAGTTTGAAGAAAAATCAGGAGAAAAACGAAACTGAATACTTGATGAAATCAAAAGGTTACTTTATATTAATGATAAGTTAGAGGAGAAAAGGATTTGCACCTATTAAACGTTTGGTGTAATGTAAAGCTGCTTAAAAGAACTCTCTTAGAATCCTAAAGAAGAGGTGGGAAGTTAAACATGTAGATTAATATAAAAATGTACGGATGAAACGTAATAATCACATATTAAAAACTAAGTATTAGTACAGAGCGAAATGTTTGCCAAACAAAAGCCATAGAATAACACAAAAATGAACCAAAAGATATGACCTCCATAGATTTAGACAACATATCAGTTTATAAATAATTTATTGGAATATGAAAGATTGCTAATATTATCAGCTTTATTATATGGCCAAAGACAATGGATGATGGTTGGGGAATATTGTGAATTAATTGAAGTAATGTATATTTATAAACAATTGGATTTCAGCTTAGTGGTCTAAAGGTTAAGTTTTCGCCCAAGAAATTGTAGGTCTTGGGTTCGACCCGCAAAGGGCCATGGATAAGAAGTTCTAAGTAGCCTCATACCAGGACGAAAGAGTCATCCAGTGCTTCCTGATTCTTAATTGGTAATCTAATTTAGGTCGGTTTGTGACATCAGTAATACTTGATATCGACAAGCCGCTAAACCGATAAAGGAAGATTTTTTGAAAACGACGTTGGACTATACAGCAAAATAAAAAGTTTTCTTTTATTAACACACAATCGCCCAAATCGTTAGAAAAAATATCCTATTACTTATCAGACAGATTTTTCGTAACATTTTGGTAGATGATTTAGAAGTATTCGCGGGAGCTTATAGAATTATTCCATTAACCATAGTTTTAAAATCAATGACTTAAACACTTTATCTCTGCAAATCGTCAAAACATATGTACAATATAAATATCTATCGGCTAAAATTCTTACTTCTATGCAATTGGTTTCTTTCAAAAACATTTAAAAAAATTGAAAGCTAGGAATAATCTGGATTTATAGTAGTTTGTTGCTCTCTCCTCAGCTACATAGAAGCCTATATATATATATATATATATATATATATATATATATATATATTCAATTTAAAGAAATGTATTGTCCATAAAGAGCGATTTGTTCAGAATGTGACTTTATGGAATTTTGTAATTAAAATCGTTCCTGTTTTATTTTGAAACTGTTACATTCAATCTGTTGTATTAAAAATATCTTATCTTACTTGGTTTTTTATAGAAAGATGAAATGAACTTAGTAAATTTCGCAACAATTCACCAGTATCTAAACATTGTAACCAAATGTTTTTCACTGTATCGTCAGTAGCGTGTGAAATTAAGGAGCAGTACGAAGAATTATCACTACATTTATTAGCAGTATCTAACTTTTAGAATAGACAAAATAGAAACAAAAGTTATACAAAAATGAAAACTTATCTATCAGTGTATGTACATTTAAAGAAAACAATTTTATAATTGACAGTGAACATTCACAATAACAGTGTTATGGACGGTTTAAATGGAAAGGGGTTATAAGAGTGACTATTTTCTAGATAGACTCTGGCCTCCTGAACTGTATCATTACTTGTGAATGTAACCAAACATTTATGGTGTGAGTTAATCATTCATTTGGCCACATAAATGAAGTTAGGACATGAGACATATGTGTCATGCCTTTGAATTATATTATCTAACGCCTGGAACGGTAAATTATAATTATAAAGAGAATTACAACCAAGATGTTTATATCTCCTTAAACGCTTCAAGCTAAAAGTCAACAACTTTAAAAACTGAAGTTATGTATATTTTGAATGCTTTGAGTTTTCTCTAATCTACTTCAAAGCCTACCAACATTATGTTTAGGTTGTTTGTGGCTAGACATACGTAAAACATACTCAAATAACTTCAATCGACGAAGATCTATAACCATACTAGCCGGTTTATCATTTATACTTAGCAACCTAAGCGTAAGCCTTGACATTGCTCACTTGGTCAGTGTCAACATGTACGAGAAACGCCTCGAATAATTCCAATACTTATAAACAAAACAGGACTCCTACTTATTGTAGGACATGTTCCACACCCATGAAGCTATATGAAACAGAATGCTGCACTGTATACTCGATAGGTGAAAGTAAAATAATTAAAGGAAGACAAATAGGCCAGTCACAGCTAAGAGTATCTTTAAATGTCCAAGATTTCATTTGCAAAGGTTTGTAGTTTTGCGCTGTCTGTGTTAAGGACTGCAACTGGTCAGTTTCTAATGGTATATATGGGTACTGGGCGGAGTGCCTCCATATTTGCCAGTTAGTCACAAGTTTTCAGCTCTAGAATTCCAAGTATCCTATTTGTATACTGAAATTACGCCTTGAGTTTAGAATCAATGCTCTTTACAATAACCTCTACTATTCTTTCACTGTCTACCCTATACTTTAATGTTATTCTGTTCCATGTTTTTAAGGGTCTGTTACAGATTACATATACTTATAAGTTCTTCAATAAAGTTGCATTATATAGGGGCAATAAAAGAGTTCTTAAGGAAACGTTTTCTTATTCTCACTGCACACCTGGAATCAACGTCCGTTTTCGGTTTATTCACTGCAGAACAAATCATCATTTAATTGCTAAGGCTTTGAAAAATAACATGTTTTAGAACAACTGACTTCATCATTTCCCATTACTGTGTGAACAATATATGCCACATAAACTTTTTCAGTAACAGTGTCCCAAAAATATAAATGAGTTTACATTGTTGATTAAACGTAGGAGAATGGCACAGACTAAATTTTACTGGTTTCTATTTAGGCTTTATACGACTGATAATTCCCTTAATTTACACAAATATCAAATGCTGTTCACCTGTAAGTAAACAGAAACACCTCGAATGAAAGTTATGAAACTGAGAAGACTCACATCATTATCATCAGTGTTACTCTTCTGTAACTCTTGTAGGCAATATTGAAATAGAAGTAAACATGCTTCTAATATATTGCGATTAATTACTGAGGGGTCCTTGTGGGAAATAACAAAAGAAAAAATGTAAGAATACAAAACATTAAAACAACTCATTGATCAGGAATTGATTAACAGTTAGTTTTCAGTTACACATAAGATCACGAGGCTAGTGATACTTCATGGTCATCTAAACTGAAGTAAGCAGAGTAAGGCATGAAACTGTGACCAAATGATTAAAAGTTTAATGTTTCAGTAACCAAATTCCATAAATAAAAGAAATGTCTAGATACATATAATCTTACACACTTAAGCAAAAAAGTGCAAACAGAACATACTGGATGATCATTTAAAATGATTCAAGTAACTAGCGTCCCCATTAAACAAATTAGTAGCATAGTATAACACTTCGGAGTTCGAAGTGGTAAGTAGTGGGTTCGAGTCTCACGGTGAGCATCGACCCTGGGGTCCAGACATATAACTGACTACCTGTAAATAGGAAGAAGTGCGTCCTACAATCCACTACTGGTTCAAATTTGAAAACATAACAAAACCTCCAACTACAGGCAATTTCAATGGAATCCTCCCAAGATGAATACATGACAACAGAGAGTGATCTAAATGTAGTCTTGAATACTGCGTTTTTTTACTTTCACCTACACTACACGGCTTTTCCAAGTGAAGTGAATGGGATTTAAACCCATAACCAAGTCGGTACAGATCAAGTGCTTTATACATTGAATGACTGAGAAAACTATGCCAAATCAATGCACTGAGGTGTACTTCTTAATTTCGGTGTTCATAACTATTTACAAAAGTTTAATTAAGCAGGAAACTAATCCTAAATACCATGCTCTAGACCACAACTGTGATACACTGCTTTAAGTGCTTTTTACCATCAACGAACAGGTCATCTTTTGCTACATATGTAAAACAACATAATTTATCTCACACAGTAAATATACTGAAGAAGCAAATGACTGAAAATAGATTTATTTACTGAATTCGATTACAATATCATTAACTCATTATCACCAAATAAAAAACTCAGCAATAAATTGATATTGTTTCACAGAGATTTATACAAGCTCCTTGACCTAGGACATTTTACTATTTTATTTAACTGATTGAATTAAATGTAGTTGACTAACCACGTAAATGTTTGTGTACTCAGATTTCAGTCATATTATTTGTGTGACGGACTAGTGATATTACCCATCTGCCCAAACCAAAGTATATGGAGTCGAAATTGAATTGACTAATTCTTCATAACTTTCTACTTATCTATATGTCGAACACACTTGTTTTCTTGTTGATTAATAACTACGCAGTCAAGGCAATGTAGATGTTATTCCCATGTCTATAGTTTTCATGAGAAACTGATAAATGGATATGAGATATATGAGTAGCTCAAAATCCATTTACAAACCAAAAGTTGCTTACAAACAAAATATATCGACTAATCTAAACAAACAAATAAATAAATTGTTGAAAGCGTGAGTCAATTGAAGCTAGACCACCATGGAAAACCTGGAAACACTGGACGGCCGTTTCGTCCTATTATGGGACTCCTCAGCAGTGCGCATCCACGAACCTGCTCTCGCGAGCGAGATTCGAACCCAGGACCTACCAGTCTCGAGCCGAAGCCCTTAACCGATAGACCACTGAGCTGGCATCCAACGGTGTTAATGTCTAACTTCAACTGATCCACGAAGTTGAGCAACCATTCACCAATTGTCTTCAGTGAGTTCCTATCTCACAACAGACGTGGTTCGTGGATGCGCACTGCTGAGGAGTCCCATAATAGGACGAAACGGCCGTCCAGTGTTTCCAGGTTTTCCATGGTGGTCTAGCTTCAATTGACTCACGCTTTCAACAATGATAAATACTAAATCTCCACAAAACCCCTTCTATAATTAAAATAAATAAATAAAAATATATTCAGAGTAAAGAAAAAACATACTGAGCAAATCAATATATCTGTACAATTTTCGGACGAGATTCCGACAGTTTTCTCTTTCTCACTGCCAGAATACAAAGCACACTGAACATTATTGCTAACATTCTTACTGTTATTGTTTTTTGAGGATTTCTGAGTCAGATATAAACGTAGTTCAATAGTAAGGGTTGTAACAACTAGAGTAAATGGTTCACCATGATTAGTTTGATTACAAAAATTTCCCAACCATTTTAACGATTGAAAAACATTTGACAAAGCGACCAAAAATTGAAGAACTATACAGAATTGTTTATTGATGCTGTAAAATCCTATAATACACAGTATGACATAAAAAATAAAGTTACTTAACTGCATACTACTTGGAAGTAATACAAACTTCAAAGTCACTTCATATGCAACATAAAACCTGATAGACGTTCATTGGTTTAAGTCGTCATATCATATTATCACAGCGAGATAAAATAACTTCAAGACAAATTACATAGAAGAAGAGGTAGTAACAATATCAGTAGAAGTAGAAAATACATCAGACATGAGAAAAGAAAGGAAGGCAAAGGGAGATTTGGGGGCACAGATTTTAAAGAAAGTCAAGGAGTGAATGCACTTCCGCCAATGTGAACAATTATGACCTATTTCACCCAAATTATTTAACCATTGGTTGAGATAACTGCGCGGGCCTCAACCACGTAGTCTAAGCCTATTAACATGATTTAGTCCCACTTTTCAGTCAGTCACAACGTAGAACTTCGTACGTACGTACATCAGTTCGAGTTGCCATACCACATTAGCACAGAGATGCAGTTGTCGATTCAAATCCCATAGTGGTAGAAGTAGTAGGAGTATAATCAGAAATCCAAAAGATTAGGGTTTGAAGAAATTATTGAAGGAGTATAGTACAATGAAATAAATTTGGAAAGAGAAAAAGATAAAGACATGAGGAATTCAAAGATTAGAATTTCGTAGAACACAAAGAGTGGATGCAACTTCGCCATTGCAAACGATGTTGAGCCATGTCATTCAAGGTCTCTAACCATCGGTTGCTATCATCTCGCGAATCCCAACCAGGTAGTCTACACCTACCAACATGGCCCAGTCCACTTGTCAGTGACTTCATGGATTTGTGCCACATTTTGGTCTGGCCGCCCCTAGCTTTCTTCCAACCTACTCCTACACCATAAAACATTGCACGTCAGGGCAGTCGGTGGTCGGGCATACGTAACACATGTCCCAGTCATCTCAACTGATGAAGTTTCACTACTTCATCAATCGATTCGCCATCCCTACCTAGTACTCGTTTCCTAACAACTGCATTACTTACCCGGTGGTCCCAGGATATACGAGCAATGCTTCGAAGACACCTATGATAGAACACTAGTAGCCTACGAATATCCTCTACTCTTATTGGCCATGTTTCACTGCCATAAAGTAGGACGGAACGAACTGTTGCGCAGTGAACCCGTCCTTTGGTTGCTAGACGGATATCTCGCCTACGCCATAAATGACGCAAGTTTGTGAATGCTAGACGAGCCTTCTGTATCCGTGCTGAGATTTCGTCACATACCAGACCACAAGAGCTGATGAGACACCCAAGATAAGTGAAGTGGTCTACACGCTCAACTACTTCACTCCCTATCATTAGTTCATGTGTCGATGCAACCCAATTCTGAAGTAACATTTTGCACTTCGAAGGAGAGAATGGCATTCCGAACATGCCTGCATAGTTGCTTATAGTGGTCAGAAGACTCTGCATATTGTCAGCATCTTCACCGAGTAAAACTATGTAGTCGGCGTATTCTAAGTCAACAAGTGAGCCTCCTGGTAAAAGTTCAACTCCTGGAGGTTTAGCTGATGAAAGTGCTATCTCTAAAAGTATGTCAATGACAAAGTTAAACAAGAATGGGGAGAGTGGACAGCCCTGACGAACGCCACTTGTGGTAATCAGTTCTGATGACAGTTCGCCATAGGCTCTAACTCGACCAGTTGTGCTCGAGTAGAGAGCCTTTATGAGGTTAATGTACTTCTTTGGTACTCCTTTCAGTGACAAACATTGCCATAGAACCTCACGATCAACGGAGTCAAATGCCGCCTTAAAGTCAAGAAATACTACTATTGTGGGACGTCTGAATTTGTGTCTATGTTCTAGAACCTGACGTAGGGTGAATATCTGGTCTATGCAACCACGTCCAGGTCGAAAACCAGCCTGGTTTTCTCTAGTCTGCTCTTCACGAGCTTTGGTTAGGCGACCTAGTATTATTGAAGCTAATATTTTAGACACTATATTAGTCAAACTGATCCCTCTGTGATTGTCACAGGAGGACTTTTGTCCTTTCTTATAGACTGGCACAATCAGTGATTGGGACCAGTCAGATGGAATTACGTCCAGTTCCCAGATTCTACCTAAGACCTCAGTCAATCTCACTGCTAGTACTGGACCACCATCCTTAAAAATCTCAGGGGTCAACCTGTCAGGGCCAGCTGCTCTCCCTCGCTTCAGATTTCCTATAGCTTTTTCAACCTCACAGAGGGTTGGAGGACTTACATCAATTTGCCATTCAGGACGACTGGGGATCGTGGGTAATTGAAGAGTGGCTGAAGGCCAGTTGAACTGATCCCTAAAGTGTTCTGCCCATCGATCCAATCTCCTGGATTGAGAATGAATAATATGCCCATCTTTATCTGAGATGGTTTCACTGATATTCGGGTTCCTAATACCGGTTTCTTTAACGAGTCTGAATAACTGCCTACTGTTACCTATTGCCACTGCCTTTTCCATCTCTCTTGCTTTCGCTACCCACCACTGTTCACGATCATTACGTAGACTTCTTATAAGCCTGCGCTTAAGTTGACTCCTCTCTTCGTTATGCTCAGAGCCAGGTGGGATGAGTTTACGAGCATCTATCAGTGCGGTAGATGCTGCCGAGATCCATTGTTTCTCCCTAACGTTATGGTTTACTTTACTAGCGGATATCACTGCTGTTTCCACAGCTTTTCGGATGTCATTCCACGCTGCCTCGGGGTGGACACAACTTACATGGCTGCCTAACTGTTTTTCTAGTTGTTCCTGAAATATATATTCCTAGCTTGCCTATCATTAAGTAGAACCTTTAGAGGCTTCCCTGAAGTGTCTTTCCTACGACCAGTAAGACGCAGACAGATACGTGCTCGCACTAGAGCATGATCTGAATCTAAGCATGTGCCCCAGAATGAGCGACAGTCTTCTATCGAGCCCCTCCGTCGGTGGCTGATAGCGATGTGATCTAGTTGGGTCCAACGTTGAGACGAATTCGGGGGTCGCCATGTCAAAAGATGTTTTTCCTTATGCTTAAAGTTAGTATGTGCAAGAAATAGGCGGTTATCTGAGCACAGCTGCAACAGACGGTCGCCATTATCTGTTCTTTTCGCCATGACACCATAAGATCCACCCAGGTGTCCTTCCCTTTCACTTAGTTTGCCTACTTGAGCATTAAAGTCACCTGCTACTATTACTACATCAGAACGCCTAGCTTCTCGGAGAAGGTCAGAAAGTTTCCTGTAGAACTCATCTTTTATATCGTCTGAGATGCAGTCAGTGGGAGAGTAGGCAGAGACGACGAAGAGGCAACGACGAGTTTCCCTATCTTTCCGGGTCCTTACTGATCCGTTTAGTCGGACAGCGCATAGACGACTGTCTACTGGGATCCAGTCTAAAAGAGCTAGTTCTGCCCTAGGACTTAATGCTATACCTACTCCAGCGAGGCCACGGGAAGCAGCGTCAGGGCTTCCAGATACACGGAGCGTGTATCGAGATGAAACTTTATTTTGATTAGGTGCGGTCAAATGAATGACACTACTCGGATCTTGTATGCGCGTTTTGGAGACGCAGCACACATCGATGGTGTAAGATTCTAGAGTCCTAGCTAAGGAAGCCTGTTGTCCTATTTGGCACAATGTTCGGACATTAAAAGTTCCTATATGTAGTTTAGAGCGTGGTTTCAGGAGACCAGGAATAACGTTCTGTGTACTCGAATCGTTTGCCCTAGCGGTGCGAGGTGATAAAAGGACGTGGGAAGGGTTAGTCGAGATAACAGAGTTATTAGGTGTAGGAAGGATTTGAAAGCGACCAACTTGATCTTGTGTGCAGTTAAGGGTATGAGGGCTAGTATCACTTCCCGGCTGCCCACACCGTGGAAGGGTATTTCTTGAGGGACCTGAAAAAGAAGTTGGATTAGTGTTGGTCTTAACGACCTGGGAGCGTGACCGCAGTGCCCAAGGGACATCTGCTTGAGGCCGGTCACGCACGGCCACTTTTAGTGACTTCATAAACTGTTGCCATATCTTGGTTAGGCCCACCCCCTAGTTTTCTGCCAATTACACTATACATACTGACGATATATATATATATATATGTTTGGTGGCAAAGATATTTTGAGAATTCTAATTACTTATTACAATAGTAATAAACTTAATTATAACTTGAATCAGCAGTAAAAATGAACACCAGAAGTATGAATTAAAAATGGGTAGAAAACAACAATTTGTTGCACCATAGTATAAGATTAACTAACAGTTAAAAGTCTATTAATCTTCAATGTATGGATTTGTTTCTCCACACCCGGTTCATCGTATACATGAAAAGTGAAAATCGTAACATAAGTAATATACCTTTTAAGCCGGCAAAGTGGCATTCGATACTAAGTTAGAGATGTGATTCTCTGAATGCTGTAACTTAACAAAATTATAAATTTTTAATTGACCTCGTCAAATATATTGGGGAAAGAAAAACCATAAAAATAAGTAAAACCTTAAGGAACCTCGTACAAATTCAGACTACTGTTTCCTCAAATGTACATCAGAAAAAACTTCGCTAGTTATCTAGCTACTACTTATATAACTACATTAGGTAATCTCATTATAGAACCGTATATATAATAATTGTAACACTATATATGAATTCCCAATAAGTTCATACGACGCATACATAAAATTAGATTTAGTCGCATCGGTTGACCACAAAAGCGCACATGTACTTGGTAACTACATGATTGTACATGAAGAGGTATTGCAAGACGATAAATAGTTCTCTATTGATCTCATACAACAGATGCTAAAATATATATATACGGCTATACTTATCGTCCACTTAATTTTAGTGACTGATATCGACTAATGATCACTAGTTACAATTATAAGTCAATGATGTTTGGTAAGAAGTTTTGGAAAATTCACATAATTTATTCATGTTTTACTACAATACGCTTAAAGAATTAAAATATTTAGAAGACCAAATAATATCTTCAAATAATGGACTCACGTTTAGTCTTCAAGCAATTCAAACAAAATAAAATTGGATGTTTAAGATGTTCTAATAAACCTTTAGAACTGTCAATTGTAGGCATTAAATTTATTAATTTTATCATTAAAATTAAATAATTCCAAAGTAAATCATCCTGAAATTTTAAAAAAAAACAATATTTATCGTAATATTACAGATGAGTTACAGAGCATAATGCCAATTTCTATCCAATCATATTTAAGCACGAGAAAGTACACTAGGAAATAAATGAACCAATGTTTGATAATTATAACACATTTCTCATGGTTGTACATTAAGAACAGGTGTAATGTACTTACTATAATATGTGATAACAACGTAAACACTTGTAATGTAGAACGATAGTTTCGACAGTGTAGTGAGAAAACGAATTTGATCTGGAAATGTGATGTATTCACACTATTCACTAATCAAGGCACCAACATATGGAAATTAATGAAGTCCTAATGAATAATTGTTCAAATAATAGAAGTAACCCATGTGCGCAAGATAATTTGTCCACTTGAGAAGTATGAGGAGGGTGAAGAATAACTTAAAATCGTGAAGGTGACAATAAAGAATAGTTAGAATAAGAAAGATCAAAACATTAGAAAGATGTATTAATAATCAAATTACCATTTACGAAAGTGATAGGGCCATGTAAGAATGATGGGTTGTACCTGTCTCTTGCGCAGAGTTTAGGTTTGAAAAGATGGATTGCTAAGGCTTCTCTACAGCGCACAAATTATTGAATTGGGCTCCTTACTACTTTCACTGTAATGAATAAGAGTGTCATCTATATATTTTTGTATAAGTAGAAGCCGTTAACCGTCGGTTGAAGTACGTTATTCTCAAGATTGGACATGAAAGAATCCTCTAGAAGAGGGCCAAGTGATGAGCGCATGGCTACGTCGACGATACGTCTATAAAACTGAATATTAAATTGAAGCTGAACATTAGGGTAAATCACAAGGGTAGTTCCTTTAGATGATGTTTTGGAACATTAATATCTATGTTGACTTAGAATATGTCGATGATATAGTTCTATTTGGTGAAGACGCTGACAAAATGCAGTCTTCTGACCACTATAAGCAACTATGCAGGCATGTTCGGGATGTGATTCTCCCCTGGAAGTGCAGAATGTTACTTCAGAATTGGGTTGTATCGACACCTGAACTAATGAGAGGAAGTGAAGTATTTGAGCGTGTTGGTATGTGACGAAATCTCAGCACGGATACAGAAGGCTCGTCTAGCATTCACAAACTTGCGTCATTTATGGCGTAGGCGAGATATCCGTCTAGCAACCAAAGGACGGGTTCACTGCGCAACAGTTCGTTCCGTCCTACTTTATGGCAGTGAAACATGGCCAATAAGAGTAGAGGATATTCGTAGGCTACTAGTGTTCTATCATAGGTGTCTTCGAAGCATTGCTCGTATATCCTGGGACCACCGGGTAAGTAATGCAGTTGTTAGGAAACGAGTACTAGGTAGGGATGGCGAATCGATTGATGAAGTAGTGAAACTTCATCAGTTGAGATGACTGGGACATGTGTTACGTATGCCCGACCACCGACTGCCCTGACGTGCAATGTTTTATGGTGTAGGAGTAGGTTGGAAGAAAGCTAGGGGCGGCCAGACCAAAATGTGGCACAAATCCATGAAGTCACTGACAATTGAACTGAGCCATGTTGGTAGGTGTAGACTACCTGGTTGGGATTCGCGAGATGATAGCAACCGATGGTTAGAGACCTTGAATGACATGGCTCAACATCGTTAGCAATGGCGAAGGTGCTTCCACTCTTTGTGTTTTGCCAAGTTCTAATCTGAATTCTTCATGCCTTTATCGTTTTTCTCTTCCCAAATTTATTTCACTGGATTATACTCCTTGAATAACATCCTCAAACCCTAATTTTTACGATTACTGTTTAAACTCTTACTACTTCTACCACTATGGAATTTGAATGGAAAACTACATCTCTGTGCTAATGTGGTATGGTAACTTGAACTAATGTACGTACGTATGTAGTTCTAAGTTGTGACTGACTGACTTTTGTTTATTATTTATGATGAAAACAGTGGCCTCAATGTCATTTTGCATAAGTTCAATGATTAGCGTCAATCAATTAAATTCACATTCGAATCTAAATTGAGTTCAGAATTTTATATCCTTGGTGAATAAACTACAACTTGCAAGAACTACATTTCCTAAAAAACTTTTTTCAAGGACATTGAGTTCAAGGGAGATACTACTGGAGATTCTGAAAAACCTCCCAACGAGGTCTTTGAAAAACATTTTGTATGCTTCTAGGCTTTGTATCGTCTTTTTAGCTGTCCCATCATTTATGGATATGCCAAAATTAAACTCCCGCATTAAGCAAGAGACAGGTACAACCCATCATTCTTACATGGCCCTATCACTTTCGTAAATGGTAATTTGATTATTAATACATCTTTCTAATGTTTTGATCTTTCTTATTCTAACTATTCTTTATTGTCACCTTCACGATTTTAAGTTATTCTTCACCCTCCTCATACTTCTCAAGTGGACAAATTATCTTGCGCACATGGGTTACTTCTATTATTTGAACAATTATTCATTAGGACTTCATTAATTTCCATATGTTGGTGCCTTGATTAGTGAATAGTGTGAACACATCACATTTTTCAGAGAAACCTTATCTTTTTCACTATACTATCGGGATTCATTGATGGGGCTGTTTTATAGTAAGACAATTCGCCGTCCCTATCTCCATATTTACAATGTTAAAATATTTACTCAAGCATAAAAACAAATTCTTTCACTCCTAATTAAACTAGGCCAGAAAACTGGAAAATTAAGATTGTATGCTTTATGTTAAATCACGGTTATCATTGTAAAAAAGGCAACATGAAATTATACATACTGTGTAGTTCAATTATCTAGAGAAATTTCTATACTATTGAACTTCTGGGAGTGACTGATACCTTTCGACTACCAGACCATAGATTTTGGTGAAATACAGTTGAAAATAGTCTGTTGACATGAACCCTTCTGATAAGTAATTTAACAAATCAATTAGTCTGAATCATTAACCGATTGCGTAAAGAACTTTCAGGAATATGGGTTACTGTATAGTTTTATTATCCAATAAAGTTAAACTACAATTGAACTACTGCAAATAATGCGAAATCCTAGTTGTTTTAGTGAAACACCATCCTACCATATTCCCTGAATTATAGTATGACAAAGAGTCCTTTTCACTTGAACAATTTAACCACATTTTGTGGTACAATAGGTTCTTAAAGAATGAGATTCTACCGAGCAGAAGATCAATTGTTACTGTATACAGCAAGTACGACCACTATTACAAGGGACAGAAGTCAGTAAAGCATAAATTGGAAATCTTCAGTCAGTCAGTCAGATACAACGTAGGACCAGGCACATATATGCATCGGTCCAAGTTGCCATACTTCGTTAGCACAACAAAATGAACACCGGATTCATAGAAGTAGTTAATTTAGTGGTGGTAGTATATAAAGAAAGGTTGTATACAAGGATATAGTATAAGAAGGGAAAAAAAGTTATGAAGCAATTTTAATCTCAAGGTTTAAGGGAAGATAAAGAGTGTATACACCTACGCCATTGTGATCGATTCTGAGCCATGTCACCTAGAGTCTCCAACCATTGGTTACGATAGTCACGCGGACCCCAACCAGGTAGTCTGCATCTGCCAACATGGCTCAGACTAGAAGTTACTGACTTCAAGCACTGATGCCATGTTTTGGTTTGGCCGCCTCTAACTCTCTTCCAACAATCCCCTACACTAGTCAGCATTGCGCGTCGCGGTAATCGGTGTTCAGGCATACGTAACACGTGGCCCAACCATCTCAGTCGATGAAGATTCATCACCTCATCAATTGATTTACCATCATTCCCCAATACCCTGTGTCTAACCTCACTATTACTTACCCGATGATCCCAGCAGATGCGAGCAATATTTCTAAGGCATCTGTGGTCAAATACCAGTAACCTGCGAGTATCTTCTACTCTTAATGGCCATGTCTCGCAGCCGTTAAGTAGAACAGAGCGAACTGCTGCGCAGTATACTCGCCCCTTAATTGATAGACGGATATCTCGTCTTCGCCATAGGTGACGTAAGTTGGCAAAAGCCAAACGAGATTTTTGAATCCGTGCTGAGATTTCGTCAGACACCAACCCATTAGGGCTGATCAGATTTCCAAGATAAGTGAAGTTGTCCACGCGTTCGACCACTTCACTCCCTATCCTTAGTTCAGGTGTTGACGCAGGCCAGTCCTGGAGTAACAATTTACATTTGGATGGGGAGAAACGCATCCCAAACAACCTGGCATTATTAATCAGTTCTAACAGAAGAATCTGCATTTTGCCAGCGTCTTCACCAAACAGGACTATGTCATCTGCGTATTCTAAGTCGATAAGTCAACCTCCTGGTAGAAGATCAATTCCTGAAAATTCAGTCGACGAGAGTGTTATTTCCAGCAATAGGTCTATAATGAAGTTAAACAAAAATGGGGATAGTGGACAGCCTTGACGGACACCACTTGAGGTTTTAAAATTATATGACAGTTCGCCATAAGCTCTCACTCGACTGGTAGTGTTCGAGTAAAGAGCCTTCACAAGGTTTATGTACTTCTCAGGTACACCTTTTAATGACAGACACTGCCGCAGAACCTCTCGGTCTACAGAGTCAAATGCTGCTTTCAAGTCAAGAAAAACTATCATTGTCGGACGCCGATAAGCATGTCTGTGCTCCAAAACTTGACGAATGGTGAATATGTGGTCGATACAGCCACGACCAGGTCTGAAGCCAACCTGATTTTCTCGTGTTTGCAGTTCACGAGTCTTAGTTAGGCGCCCGATAATTATTCAGGCTAGTATTTTAGATACTATGTTAGTCAGACTAATCCCTCTATGGTTATCGCAGGATGATTTTGACCCCTTCTTATATATTGGGACAATCAGAGATTGTGACTAGTCAGATGGGATTACGTCCGTCTCCCAGATTTTAGCCAGAATATTAGTCGCTAAAATTGGACCACCATATTTAAAGACCTCTGGAGCCAATACATCTGGACCAGCTGCTCTTCCTCGTTTCAGATTACTTATAGCCTTTTGAACTTCAAGTAGGGTCGGGGGGCCTACTTCAATGTTCCATTCAGGTTTTCTGGGAATAGTGGGTAGTTGTGCAGTAGCTGAAGGCCAGCTAAACTGCTCCTTAAAGTGTTCCGCCCATCGTTCTAAACGTTTGGGTTGAGACCAGATAAGGGTTCCGTCTTTTTCGGAGATTGTCTCATTTACACTTGACTTCTTAATTAAAGTTTCTTTTATTAGTCTGAATAATTGCCTGGTGTTGTCTACAGCCGCTGCCTTTTCCATCTCATTTGCTTTCGTTGCCCACCACTGCTCACGATCGTTCCTTAGACTTTTAGTTAACCTAGATCTAATTTGTTTACGCTCTTCGTCGTGTTCAGAGCCTGATGGGATGAGTTTACGCGAATCCATCAGTGAAATAGACTTAGAAGAAATCCATTGGTTTTTTGGAGCCCTATAGTTTAAATAACTAATAGATGTTACTGCTGTTTCCACAGCTGTTCGTATGTCTTTCCAAGCAGCATCTGGGTCAGTCTCGTTTACAGAACTGCCTAAATGTGAACTCAGTTGTTTCTGGAATTCGCATTTGGCTTTCTCGTCCTCCAGTTCAATCATAATGGGTCTTCTTAGTGCACTTTTCCTGCGTCCATTGAGGCGCAGACAAATGCGCGCTCGTATTAAAGCGTGATCAGAGTCTAAAGTATTCCAATACGAGCGACAATCTTCTATTGAGCCTCTCCAACGATGACTGATGACAATATGGTCTATTTGAGTCCATCGTTGGTTTAGTGCAGGTGGTCGCCATGTTAGGCGATGTCTTTCCTTACGCTTAAAATTAGTGCTTGCTAAAAATAAGCGATTGTCTGAGTATAGCTGCAACAGACGATCACCATTATCGGTTCGTTGAGCCGGAATACTAAAACACCCACCTAAATGTCTTTCTGTTTGATTTAAGCTGCCTACCTGGGCATTAAAGTCACCCGCTACGACTACTATGTCTGAGCGCTTAGCTTTCTGAAGAAGCTCAGAGAGCTTTCTGTAAAAGTCATCTTTCACTTCATCATGGCTGCAGTCAGTGGGAGCGTAGGCAGAAACGACGAAAAGCAACGACGTGTGTCCCTATCCTTCCGAGTTCTTACGGAGCCGTTCAGCCGGACAGCACACAGGCGACTGTTAACGGGGATCCATTCTAGTAGTGCCTGTTCTGCCCTTGTACTTAGTGCTATGCCTACACCTGCAAGTCCACGAGAACTAGCCAACGGGTCGCCAGATACACGGAGGGTGTATTTCGTTGGCTGTCCATTTTTGTGAGGTGAGGTCAAGTGAATGATCACATTAGGACCCTGTATGCGTGTTTCGGAGACACAGCATACATCAATGGTACGAGATTCTAGGGTTTTGGCTAAGAAGGCCTGTTGAACGATTTGACTTAGGGTACGTACGTTGAAAGCTCCAATGTGTAGTTTGGAGCGAGGTTTTAGTAGACCTGGGACAGTGTTTCGCGCACTAGAATCGTTGGCCATGGTGACACTTGAGGAGGAAACCGGAACAGGAAGTTTAGTGTTGAAAGTTAAGGCAGAAGGAATAGTAGGAATTGAAGAAGGAGACTGATTATGAATACAGTGGTCTTGAGTGCTGTTAGAGGTATGAGGGCAGTTATCACTTCCCGGTTGCCCACGCCGTGGAAGGGTTCTTCTAGGGGTACCTGAAAAAGAAATTAGGTTAGAAGTGATCTTAATGACCTGAGAGCGCGACCACAGTGCCCAAGGGACAACTGCTTGAGGTCGGTCACACACGACCTTTTTGTGGGTAGTTTTTGTGTTAGCTCCGTTCTTCAAAGGACCTTACCGCCGGAGACGGATATCCGTGGGATAAGGCGAGGTGTGCATTTTTAGGGTCGACCTTTTCTAACCCCACCCCTCCTTGTGGGAAAGCAGCATCGCTGTCATGCTGGTTGTCTGAAGGAAACACCTTACTGCTGTCACACCTCTGTACAGTCAGCAGTACGACTTCGCCTTCGGACCTTGGGTTTGCTGATTTTAGTCTCACCGCTTTTCAAACGACCTGCCTGGCATGGTAGGACCTTGAGGAACGATTGTTCCAGCCAGTATAGCTCGATTGGATCATCACGATAGGCAAGCCCGACCACCACGTCAAGGTAGCAACAATGGTTGGGATTGGAAATCTTAATGAAAAATTATTACTCACATAACATAAACTATTTCTCTGGATAGATCAATATTATAATATGAGGTTATTTCGGATAACTCACTTTACAAGATGGATCAAATTTTTCGCAACAAACGGTCAAACTCTTTACCAAAGAATCTTTAAAATCTATGTTGTGTTTTACGCCATACTGTAGAAGTTCACTCAAAAATAAAAGACAATCTGTTTCAGCTGAAACGAAATGATGTTAAAATATCCTTGGAGAAAAAATGAGACGTACACATATATAATTCACATGTCTTTTCGACTGAAATAGTCAAAACAGATGGAAGGCTACCATTGAAATCGACAAAGGTATTAAACTGTATAATCTGATTTAATACAGGGAATACAAGTGATGGTATAGTTCTGTCCGTTGAAGGGCTGGAATAAAATTACAATAGATGAGTAGAAGGAAACAGAACTTACGAAAGATATACCGAATTCCACAAGCCAGGAAATAATAACTCGAAACCTTTTAATCCGATCTAATACGAAGTAATAAATTACTCGTTAAAACAGATCTTACGATTGATGGATTGAACGCCATGTTCGCGATACATTCAGTGAGTGATAAACGAAGGTTAATCGGAAGACTATCTTTATCTGGGGTAAGGAAAAGCACATCAACGTATTAATAACAGACTATATATATATATATATATATATATATATATATATATATATATATAGAGAGAGAGAGAGAGAGAGACAAAAAGTGGGAAACACTAATCTAAATATCGATTGAATGACTGTATTGATTTTCGAAACTGTACCACTCTAAAAGCGAGAGGCATATTTTGCATTTTAAATTGATATAATCACCCAAACAGTTTAGTATGATAACTAAGCCACCTTATACAGGCAAATATACGGCAGTTAAGATACACGAATCGTAACGAACTCTCGAATATGGACTATACAACTCAAGAGTAAACTGACTAATAATTATGACCAGCATTTTTCTACTTTACGCGAGACCATTGAAGTATAAAATATTCTTGAGGAGTCGCTAGCATTTGAAGTTTACATAACAAACAAGGAATTTTAAAAAAGCCTTTAGTAAGTATATTTTAATCTAACCGATCTTTCTAAAACAATGTATGTCTAGCTTCGATCAAAAACAAAATGAGTAATGATTTGTTATAACTTGTTGCCTGGATGCCCTGTTAATGGATAACGTGATAAGACCGCCAATTAGAAAGCAGTGATTTGTCGATCGGACCAATGACGCAATAAACCCGTACGAGCAGTCTAGAGTACTTATCGGTCCTGCTTTCTACCTAGCCCAGCCAGTTAAGTTCAGAACACCGATCTCAGCCTCTGAAGTATGAATCACTTATTACAAACATACTGGGTTTATATACCGACCAGACAGACCACATTGTACCATAAGATAGGAAACAACATTTGTACAAGATTTAGCTAAATGTGGCTGTGAATAAGAGAGATAGTAGTCGGTATACAAGGCTTAACTCAAAAATGGTTAATCGTATAATATTTCATAGGTCAAAATAAAGCTCATAATAAGAGGGACATGAATATGAATAGTTCAGTTATTTAAAAATTATACGATAAAAAATGTGCACATAGCATTGATCCATAAACGAATCCAAAAGTTACCACTCATTTTTCGTATCGGGACATAACATGATTACGATTGTGTCAAAATTCTGTTGGACAGTGGCCTAATGACTGAAGCGCTCGAACTACTTCCGTCTGGTCAACCTGGTAAGATCACAGCCCTTCACACTCAGAGTGTGACTTATATTCCGTTCACTTTTTTATACTGAGCATAAATACATTGTTAGGAAATGATAAATCATTCGACAGGAAAGTATATACGCAGTCATCAACCGATTTTTGACATTTCGTTAAAACCAAACTTCGTAAGCACTGTTTTGTCATTCTTTTTCATCATCTGGTTTCTCAGTGGTCGATCTTCCTGAAGATCCACTCGCTGACTCGCAAGATTATTATGTTATATTATTGTTTAATGAAAACTAACAAGATGTAGCCATATGAGAACTTCGCGTAATGAAGTAGATATTAATTTTTATTTCTCTAGATGCAAACCTTTTGTGATTGACTAGCGTCAAATAAAAGTCATTACAGTAGATCTTTGTATATAAAACCCGAAAGTTTATTTTCTTTATTTACGGCCCCACATACTACCAGAATATACTAGTTCACACTAAAAAGTTGGTTTTGAAAATAGAACATGAGACTAATAATAATCACTCACCAAGTAATAAATATTGAGCAAGTCTCTCAAAGGGAATACAGACTGCAGCATTATCATTTTCCCCAGTTTTGATAGACTAAAATATCAATATTAATTTGGGCTATTTAGTGTAAACTAACATGCACAACATTCAAAATGTCACCGTCCATAGATATGAAGAGACCCTGAATTGTTTCGTATACAGTAACAACCAATACCAACTACGGAACCACTATTGACTGGAAGACTTCGAGCTACAAAGTGACCTGAAAAACACAGGAGCGGTTATTACAATAAACAGACTGACAAATTATAAAGCGAAATAGAGGATTTAACGTTACATAAATATTGTAACAATGACTACCAAGTAACAAGACGACAGGATATGCCAAAAGCACAATACACTTTACTAAGCGCGATCGAGCACAACTAATGGCGAGTATTAATCCAAACGGAATAACCTGCTGATGTAGGGATAAATAAATTCCTAGAACAAATAGAAACGCGCGCTTTTCGAATGGGAAGTTTAGTCCTAACGTGATTTACATTTCTCAAACTTTTGCTGTGTTCTTACGCAACAAAAGTATCATTTCCAATCCAAAGAATCTATTCTGAGCTATACGTTCGGTAGATTACTTCTTTTTTTGTGTTTCACTCAACTTAATAGTTAACTATGGTTTTGCCTCAGCTCACTATCGGCTTTTTTTTATAGTTTTCACGTGAAGACTAGCTTTAGCTTATCGTTAACTGTTTTTATACATTTTTGATAGTTTTCGTTTACTGTGTTTTTTTTTTAACGGTCCTAAATTTACTGCTCGTATTTTTAAGACAGTCTAAATCATTAGCCATGAAAAATTCATGCAAAAGACCTGGTTGCCGTTTTGCCGTTACATCTGGCATGCAATGTGACAACTGTAAAGGTTGGTTCCACGAAGCATGTACAGATCTAACAGCAGCAGCCTATAGCAGACTCGGCAAGTCTGGTCGTAGGTGGGTATGTGTTACCTGCAACACTGATACCGTAGTTATGTTGGGTACCATCATTACTTTACTGACAGGTCTGAGAGATAAGTTGTCTAAGAATTCGGTAAATGATATCATCATGACGGGTAACAAAGCTGGAAAGCATAGGGCAAATAAGAAAAAGGATACTGACAGGTCGGTTATCGACGGTGCTGTTAACAGCACGAGTGATGATGTGCTGAAACTCAGCACCATCTTAACATCGAACCCCTCAGTAAGCTTGGGTCCCGCAGGGAACAGTCCTTGAATGAGACAGTGGTTCCCAAAAATCCTGTAGGTGGATGGACTCACGTTAACAGTAGTAATAAAGCTCAAGCGTCCCCTCCGAAACTCAACGTCCCAAGTATCGTGCGGAAATCAGTTGATGCTTTGGCCGCACAGTCTACCCCCAAGACTGTCCGCCCGGTCATCACTGAGCCCAGGAAGCGAAAACGCGCCTCGACATCCAAGCAACAAGATACCAAACCTAGACGCCCTGAAAAACCTGGGAAATCAATTGCGGTTCGTGACGACTCTGTCATAATCATGAACCTTATTGACAACCCCGACCTTCCTCTCAGTATGCAGGACAAAAACGATAGGATGCTCTGGGGAGAATTAATCAAGAGGCTTGAACTCTCTAGAAGAGTCTTTGACGGTCACACGGCTCACTCAGGGGAAGGACTCTAATCACCTAAACCACCCGAGGCTGCTTCGTGTTACACTTAAGAATGCCTCTGACGTAGAGGACGTCCTGCTAGCCAGTCACTTACTGAAATCCGATGGGAACGTAAGAATACTGCCCGACATACCATATTCTGAACGAAATCTTATCCGGAACATCCCTAAGGAATCTCGCGAGGCGTTTTTCCGTGGAAGAAACATCATTGTGCAAGGTGTGCCGGATAATATGGACCCAACTCAATCAGACTCTGATATTCGGGAATGGAAATTCATTAAGCATTCCTTAAAACTCAAGAACACATTGACCCAACAGGTAATGCGACTAGCCAAGAGAGACGGAGGCTCTAGGCCCCGGTTGTTGAAGATAACCTTCCCCTCCTCCCACATGGCGGCTGCAACTCTGGAAGCATTTCGTGCCAATAGACGTCGGTTGCTAACTGGCATCCATATGCATCCGGATAGGCTCCACGACAGCAGGATCAGGCACAAACGAAAGCTGGAGCTGACAATTCCACTCGTGGACTGTCTTGATCATAAAAAAAACGTGTAAAGGACAGGGACTACCAACTCGGTAAACATCGTATAGGTAGGCTACCTGTCCACTCACACACGGCTCATATAGACAAACAAGAAGAGGCTCACGCGTTCCAAATTGAAAGCATAAACTGCCTATACACGAACGCCACGAGTTTGCCAAACAAAATGGATCAACTACGTGAACTTAGCAACGCTAATGATGCCCATCTGATAGGAATATCCGAAACTTGGATAACGTCTCAGTTTACGGACCAGGATCTAGCAATAACTGGAATGTCTTTATTTCGCAACGACAGAAAAACAGGAATGGGGGTGGGGTAGCACTATACGTTCGGTCATGCCTGGATGCGCACCAACTTCACAACCAAGAGTTTTTCAATCTTGACGAGTCAGTATGGTGCTCAGTAAGTTATCTACCACCTCGAGATGCCTAGTTGGGGTCGTTAACAAGAAGCCCACTGCCGACATCGAGTATGACAGACGTCTGCTGGAATGATTAATTTCAATCTTCCTAGAATCAACTTCGTGGAACATACTTAATAATAATATGTTATCCTTAGTCCTTAAGAATAAGTCAAGTTTTCTCTTAAAGGACTCCTGGGAGGTCGCTTGGACTAGCTCAGTCGGCAGCGAATTCCAGCACTTGACAACTCTTACGGAGTAGAAGTTGTGTCTGCAGTCTGTTCTGCTATGTAGGGTCTCCAATTTCTGGGTGTTACCTCTTAGGTTAGTGTTATGACTAAGCTTAAGAAGATGTTTAAGGGGATGTCAAGAAGTTTTAAGGATACTGTAAGCCATGAGAAGGTTACCTCTAAGGTTTAGTGATTTGAGGCGCTCTTCATAAGGTTTGAATTTGAGACCCCGAACTGATTTCGTGGTTCGACGTTGTATACGCTCCAGAGTGACCTTATCCTTTTGGAAGGAGGGAGGAAATACTATGTTTCCGTACTCTAAATGGGGACGAATAAAACTGTTGAAGATCATGTGGAAAGTTCTACCGTCAAACTGGCCAAGAATGCGCTTCAATGTTACCAGTGCAAGGTTTGCTTGAGAGGCGTTTTTGTCACAGTTCGCATTCGATTTCAGGTCGTAGGGTACCAACACTCCTAAATCTTTTTCAACTTGGGAAACTTCTAGAGGTGAGTTACCTAAGTTATAACTATAGTCTGCAACATGTCTCAGATGGACTACTTTGCACTTTGAAGTGTTGAAGGTAAGTCCGTTGTCATCTGCCCAACTTTGAAGTCGAGTCATGTCCTCCTGAAGAACTAGTATATCATTATGATTACGTATCTCTCTCCAAAGTTTCACATCATCAGCAAAAAGCAATAAGTCAGATGAAACTTGTTGAGGAAGATCGTTAATATAAATCAAGAAGAGAAGAGGTCCTAGTATTGAACCCTGTGGGACCCCACTAGGACACTCCACAGCCTGAGAGAGAGTGAAGTTAACCCTGACCTTAAAGTGTCGGTTTTCTAAATATGAAGTGAGCCAGTCAATCAAAGGGGGTTTTATACCCAATCGTCCAAGCTTCTTGATAAGACATGCATGGTTGACCCTATCAAAAACTTTTGAGAAGTCCAGGTAGATGACTTCAACCTTCCCTTTGCGATCAAGGATGGTTGTCCATCTATCCACCGCAGTCAGCAGGTTGGTCATACAAGAATGACCCTTTCTGAAACCATGCTGTTGAGATGAGAAGAACTTTGAGGATGATAAGTATTCTTGCATACCGTCGTATATTAGTGGTTCCATAATTTTGGAAGGTATGGAGAGAAGGGCCGCTGGTCGGTAGCTTGAGGGTTCACTGCGTCGACCTCCTTTGAAAATTGGTGTGATGTGGGTCAGCTTCCAAATTTCCGGTAGTTTGCTTTTGCTTAGCGAGTGTGCAAACATCACATTAAGTGGTGTCGCCAGGATTGAAGCTGATTCCCTCAATACAGCAGAATGAACCATGTCCGGACCAGGAGAAGTGTCTTTTTTTAGGTTCTGCAGTTTACGGAGCACCAGGTCAGCACTCAGGTCAACTTCGGAAAGTCCTGTACAGGTGCAGGTGAAGCTTTCGTCAGTATGGTTGATGTGGGTCAGCTGGAATGTCTGGGAGTAATGTTCAGCCAAAAGGTTGGCGGCATCACTGTCGTTGTTGGTCGGGCCATTAGGACCTAGCAGTTGGGAAACTCCAGTTTTTCCTTGTCGAAGAGAAGCTGCGTAACTGAACAAGCTTTTCGCATTGGAGACGAATCTATCGATAAGCTTGGTCTGGAACTGAAGCCTGTCTTCTCTTATTGCCTTTGTGCATATGTTCCTTATATGTTTGTATTGCCTGTACGCGCCGTTGTTATCAGTTCGTTTATATTCAGCCCAACAGTGCCTTTTGCGGCTTAGCAAACGACGAGTGCGGTTCTTGATGATTGCAGGTTGCTTGTAGCTTTTTGGGACCATTTTAGGAACTGAATGCTCAGTAGCACATAAGATCGTGTGCAGTAAAAAATCCCAATGAGCATCTACTTCAATTTGAGGGCGAACATCCCAATCCACCTGTTGTAGATAGTCCTGTAAAGCTAACACATTCAACCGTTTGAAATTCCAGCGCCTGTTGCCAGTGGGATATCCTGGCTCCGTTTTGCTGACAAAGCTGAATGATAAGACGGCTTGATCGCTTTTCCCCAGGGGAGCCAGGATTGAGAGGTCGTCAACTAGGAATTCTTCATTTGTGAATACCCAGTCTAAGCGTGACGGCGTCTGACTGTTTCTCCAACGGGTTGTCGACTTCACATTTTCAAATAATCTCAGGTCGCCTATAAGGTTGAAGAACAGAGCTTCAGTAGAGCTGGCACCACCAATGTATGTATGTTCCACGAAGTTGATTCTAGGGAGATTGAAATCCCCTAGAATCAGGATATGAGAGAATCCGGGACGCGTAGAGCGAGTTAATCCTTCCAGCAGACGTTTGTCATATTCGATGTCGGCAGTGGGCTTCTTGTTAACGACCCCAACTAGGCATCTCGAGGTGGTAGATAACTTACTGAGCACCATACTGACTCGTCAAGATTGAAAAACTCTTGGTTGTGAAGTTGGTGCGCATCCAGGCATGACCGAACGTATAGTGCTACCCCACCCCCATTCCTGTTTTTCTGTCGTTGCGAAATAAAGACATTCCAGTTATTGCTAGATCCTGGTCCGTAAACTGAGACGTTATCCAAGTTTCGGATATTCCTATCAGATGGGCATCATTAGCGTTGCTAAGTTCACGTAGTTGATCCATTTTGTTTGGCAAACTCGTGGCGTTCGTGTATAGGCAGTTTATGCTTTCAATTTGGAACGCGTGAGCCTCTTCTTGTTTGTCTATATGAGCCGTGTGTGAGTGGACAGGTAGCCTACCTATACGATGTTTACCGAGTTGGTAGTCCCTGTCCTTTACACGTTTTTTTTATGATCAAGACAGTCCACGAGTGGAATTGTCAGCTCCAGCTTTCGTTTGTGCCTGATCCTGCTGTCGTGGAGCCTATCCGGATGCATATGGATGCCAGTTAGCAACCGACGTCTATTGGCACGAAATGCTTCCAGAGTTGCAGCCGCCATGTGGGAGGAGGGGAAGGTTATCTTCAACAACCGGGGCCTAGAGCCTCCGTCTCTCTTGGCTAGTCGCATTACCTGTTGGGTCAATGTGTTCTTGAGTTTTAAGGAATGCTTAATGAATTTCCATTCCCGAATATCAGAGTCTGATTGAGTTGGGTCCATATTATCCGGCACACCTTGCACAATGATGTTTCTTCCACGGAAAAACGCCTCGCGAGATTCCTTAGGGATGTTCCGGATAAGATTTCGTTCAGAATATGGTATGTCGGGCAGTATTCTTACGTTCCCATCGGATTTCAGTAAGTGACTGGCTAGCAGGACGTCCTCTACGTCAGAGGCATTCTTAAGTGTAACACGAAGCAGCCTCGGGTGGTTTAGGTGATTAGAGTCCTTCCCCTGAGTGAGCCGTGTGACCGTCAAAGACTCTTCTAGAGAGTTCAAGCCTCTTGATTAATTCTCCCCAGAGCATCCTATCGTTTTTGTCCTGCATACTGAGAGGAAGGTCGGGGTTGTCAATAAGGTTCATGATTATGACAGAGTCGTCACGAACCGCAATTGATTTCCCAGGTTTTTCAGGGCGTCTAGGTTTGGTATCTTGTTGCTTGGATGTCGAGGCGCGTTTTCGCTTCCTGGGCTCAGTGATGACCGGGCGGACAGTCTTGGGGGTAGACTGTGCGGCCAAAGCATCAACTGATTTCCGCACGATACTTGGGACGTTGAGTTTCGGAGGGGACGCTTGAGCTTTATTACTACTGTTAACGTGAGTCCATCCACCTACAGGATTTTTGGGAACCACTGTCTCATTCAAGGACTGTTCCCTGCGGGACCCAAGCTTACTGAGGGGTTCGATGTTAAGATGGTGCTGAGTTTCAGCACATCATCACTCGTGCTGTTAACAGCACCGTCGATAACCGACCTGTCAGTATCCTTTTTCTTATTTGCCCTATGCTTTCCAGCTTTGTTACCCGTCATGATGATATCATTTACCGAATTCTTAGACAACTTATCTCTCAGACCTGTCAGTAAAGTAATGATGGTACCCAACATAACTACGGTATCAGTGTTGCAGGTAACACATACCCACCTACGACCAGACTTGCCGAGTCTGCTATAGGCTGCTGCTGTTAGATCTGTACATGCTTCGTGGAACCAACCTTTACAGTTGTCACATTGCATGCCAGATGTAACGGCAAAACGGCAACCAGGTCTTTTGCATGAATTTTTCATGGCTAATGATTTAGACTGTCTTAAAAATACGAGCAGTAAATTTAGGACCGTTAAAAAAAAAACACACAGTAAACGAAAACTATCAAAAATGTATAAAAACAGTTAACGATAAGCTAAAGCTAGTCTTCACGTGAAAACTATAAAAAAAAAGCCGATAGTGAGCTGAGGCAAAACCATAGTTAACTATTAAGTTGAGCGAAACACAAAAAAAGAAGTAATCTACCGAACGTATAGCTCAGAATAGATTCTTTGGATTGGAAATGATACTTTTGTTGCGTAAGAACACAGCAAAAGTTTGAGAAATGTAAATCACGTTGGGACTAATCTTCCCTTTCGAATAGCGCTGTAGCTTAGACAAGTTCGTGATGAAAACACAAACCCTTATTCTCAACCCTAAATTCTAACTGTAGGCCTTAATCGCAGTGGCCCACAAAAACGAAAACCATCTCAGACTTTGCCGTCAGTAAGCCATGGCACTCGAAAAACTAACAACCGACCTTGGAAGTAGCGCTATTGTCGAATACTCGCTTTCAGAAAACAAGGTTGTGAGTCCAAAAGGTTCGAGTGGTTGTGGACGGAACAGAAGAAGCTTTCGCTTAACGGGCTTCCGTGTCTAGCATTGGTGGATCACCAATACCTCCAGGCAAGAACCTAGGTATATTAACGATAATATAGGAGAGAAAAAGAATTTGGTAAATCAAAATAATATGTTATCCTTAATTCTTAGGAATAGGTGAGGTTTCCTCCTAAAACACTCCTGTGAAGTCGCTTGGACTAGCTCAGTCGGCAGCGAATTCCAGCACTTGACAACTCTTACGGAGTAGAAGTTGTGTCTGCAGTCTGTTCTGCTATGTAGGGTCTCCAATTTCTGGGTGTTACCTCTTAGGTTAGTGTTATGACTAAGCTTAAGAAGATGTTTAAGGGGATGTCAAGAAGTTTTAAGGATACTGTAAGCCATGAGAAGGTTACCTCTAAGGTTTAGTGATTTGAGGCGCTCTTCATAAGGTTTGAATTTGAGACCCCGAACTGATTTCGTGGTTCGACGTTGTATACGCTCCAGAGTGACCTTATCCTTTTGGAAGGAGGGAGGAAATACTATGTTTCCGTACTCTAAATGGGGACGAATAAAACTGTTGAAGATCATGTGGAAAGTTCTACCGTCAAACTGGCCAAGAATGCGCTTCAATGTTACCAGTGCAAGGTTTGCTTGAGAGGCGTTTTTGTCACAGTTCGCATTCGATTTCAGGTCGTAGGGTACCAACACTCCTAAATCTTTTTCAACTTGGGAAACTTCTAGAGGTGAGTTACCTAAGTTATAACTATAGTCTGCAACATGTCTCAGATGGACTACTTTGCACTTTGAAGTGTTGAAGGTAAGTCCGTTGTCATCTGCCCAACTTTGAAGTCGAGTCATATCCTCCTGAAGAACTAGTATATCATTATGATTACGTATCTCTCTCCAAAGTTTCACATCATCAGCAAAAAGCAATAAGTCAGATGAAACTTGTTGAGGAAGATCGTTAATATAAATCAAGAAGAGAAGAGGTCCTAGTATTGAGCCTTGTGGGATCCCACTAGGAAAAATCTAAAACCATCAAAGGCTTCGTATCCTTATTTCGAAACAAGAGAGAGTTTAAAACACATCTATTTAAAGTCAAGATAAAGTCAATTTCAACAGCCTAAGTAATGTTGACGCACTGTGACGTGCATGGGTTCACATAATGTTCTAGGGAAAGTACCGAAAAGTGCTTGACTTCTTTTATGTCAACGGAACTGAAAGTTGACGTATTACTTAGGTAACTTGAAACTCATGATAGCTACAACATGGCAGTGCGCAGCCATTCCTCAGTCCTATCTGATAATGACTTAAATACCATGACGTGCCTGAATCCAGGTACCTGAACTTTATTCACCCTGTATGCATTTGTACCATTGCACTTTGAACTATCAGCTCGAAGATAACAAAATCTGGAACATACAGACAGCTTCTTTAGACTTTTCTGGAACTACAATCTATCCTTCTCATGCCATGTGGTCTCTCATATCTCGATATCTCCAGCATGTATTAAGAAGAATGCTGATAGGAGACTATAAGTTACTATTTTTTTGCGCGATATCGGTAAGTTGTTGGAAAGTCAAGCTACCTTTCCGAGATAATTAAGTTTTATTCTGGGTACTCAGATACCCTCTTACATATATTGTTTCCTAGGACCGTGTAAAACGCACTGGTTAGACTTGCAAAACAATGATTCTCATGGTAATGCTAGCACCTGTTTCGAAGGTAGAACATACTTTGAGGTTCTTTTAGTCGTTCGGTAATTTTCTCTGAGTTACGAGTATGTAAAACAGTGATATTTCTCGTCTTTACGCTCTATGGTAAAAGAGATAGAATACAAATGTTTCTCAATATTTATTTAACTGCTTAAAATAATCGAAATTTTACAGTAAAAACAAACGACTAAAGTATCATAGAACTGAGTAGACACAACTGGAATGAAATAATATTGGAATTGGAATGATACCAGAATTACAACTCTGCAATTAAATCAGAGTTACATTGACAGTGACACTGGGAATAAAATATCCGAGTGCATCTGTAGCCGTTCTAGCATTACTACAAGTTCAAAACCTTGCTATAGAACGCTAACTGCATCAAAATGCAAGTCCTAATTTGGAATTCTTAAGGTAAAATGAAAACTGCACATCGAAGTGCACAGTGTTCAGGGAATCGGAGTCAGACATTAAAAAAAGTGAATAGGACCTGACAGAAACCAAAAATCCAAGCGCAGTACAGCACTGATTCGAGATTCCTGATCGGTTGCGCATTCTCTACTATAGTTAACCTACGTAAGTATGCAAGTAACTAATAGGTAGGTAAATTAGTAAATAAATAGGTAAGTATAACAGTTTTCAGCAATTGTGTTGTAGCGAAATAGATCCTAGATTTCATTGGACTTTTCCAAACTTCGTTCCGATCCAAAAAGTACAAATATTTCAGGTTATCGATTAATCAGAGTGTCTCAATTATTTATACATCAATATGATAATAGAATATGATCGATTGATGAATACAGTCAGCTAGTCATACGGAGGGATTTTAAAAGGAGTCGAGTTAGTCACAGAACTAGACACGGATTAACCGAAGGAATCGAACCAATGAATTTGGCAGTCACGTGCTCAGTTAGACATCATATTCCGAAATGAATACGCAAATATGTTCATTTAAAATAGGTCCTGCGTTTGAGTCTCACGAGGCGGGATCGTGGATGCACACTGCTGAGGAGTCCCACAATAACACGAAACGACCGTCAAGTGCTTCCAGGTTTTCTATGATGGTCTAGCTTCAATTGACTCATAACCCAATTATTAAAATATATTTATCAAATACCATAGAAGCATATACTTGAACAATTTGTGATATAGGTCATAAATTCCTTTAATATCTTATGATGCATTACGTCGTGTCCGAGGAATTTTTTACAAAGAGATTTTTCAGCCAACCAATGATATCTGGTTTTTTATCTATCACAATATCCACTGCGTGGATGGAAGGATTATTCTATTCCTAAGAGAAAAGAGGGTCTGCTGTATGATTACACCCAAATCCATTAAAGTACCTGAGTTTTGCTACATCGATGTCATAGTACTATCAATTGAAAAATGCTAATACGTCTTCCCCAATCGGTCCTTCAGTTTATATAAGAAAATGTTCTGGACATTTTAAAGAGTCCTTGACAGGCTTACATTTCCATTTCCCTCTAGACGTACGTAGGGCTGAGGTACGGCTGTTTATGTCTTTCTAATGTTGAAGCATGACTGACCGGTTTCTAGTAACCTCAGTCTCTTTCACATCGTTTTTGAGTAAAATAGGTGAAATTTCTTTCAGAGCCATGGAGAGAAATTTCTTTATTTAAATGGTATCGTAGAAGGTATGTTTAGTGTGGTGACTTTCACGTTTAATTTCCTGAAGGCCCTCCAAGCTGTTCCTACTGAGACTCAATTTATTGAGAGCATTATATGTGTAACTTTTTGTATACTCTCTTCCGCCACACATCGTGTTGTGGCGGAGTTGACTAGGCTTTGTTCCATCTAGTCACTTCAGTTTTTCCCGATCTACTGTAAGTTCATTAAGAACACCTTGAATTTAACAGCCACCTTTGGAAGGCCAAACGTTAGATCTATATAATATAATTGGGTTGGCATAAACTAAACTGATCAGTAGCTTTTGTTCTTTTCATGCCCATTGTCAACGACCTATTTCATGCATTTCTATTTCATGAAATGTTTGTAAACAAATTTAGGGGGCTGCTATTTCTGATGAATGGTGTTACTGCTTATACTTTACACTTTTACGTTCCGTCAGTCCTTATTACTGCTAAGTATCCTAAGTTTGGTCCACTCTATTCTGCCCGTCGCGTCAGCCACTGTAAAGGAAGATACCATGAGATAACTCGCATTTATTGAGTTTGGTTTAAGCTTGGACGTTGGTTTATCATGGACCGTTGTATAGCCACTGTGACAGATTAAAAAAGCAGTGTGAAGAGTACACGCAGACGGAGAAAAATACTCCCTTATTTTTTGTCTCGTCCTTTGGACCTGTAGTAAAACTATTTTCTATGGGCAGTCATGATTTATTTTTGTTATTAGTTACTGTCAGTCGTTCGAATTGTTGCTGAAATAGAGGTTTTAAACCAATCAAGCTGATTGAGCCATGCGTTTTTACGTGTTACACGTAAAAATCCTTACTCCAGGACCGGTCGATTAGATCACTTGGAAACTATTGATGTCCAGCGTGGCTAAACCGTATCGAGTATGAGGCAGTTACACATAGGAAACAATGAATGATAGTCTAGTGACATTTTGGGTTGACCAAAGTTAGTCATTAGCATTATCTCAATAAAAAAATCTTATTTCACTTTGGTTAGTTGCCAGGTTCATGTTTAAATTGCATAGAAGAGTAGGGTTTATCCCCACTCTTAAAAATACAATTTTGTGCCTGAAAAGTCAGTCATGTTCTTAGCAAAAACTATGTTTATTGTTGAATAAATCAAATGGATAAAAAATATATTTCTTTTAATTCATTATATAACTGAACTCCTACATTCCTAATTAGGTCTGTGATATGCTATATATACACATACCATACCTAACTAAAATAATTAACTTTTGTAAACTATACAATGTTAAAATAATGATATGTTACATCAGGGTAATTTTGAAAAAATCATGTATTACAATTGACTGTAAGTTTTTCAATCTTTTAACATTATTTTAAAAAAATATACTTCCATCTGAAAGAGAATTAACTATTGAGTGTATTCAGTACTTATGTGTAAGTAACTCAAATGAAAAAAGTATTATCTAATATCTCTTCAACTAATAACGAACTGTAAAATCCCATGATAATTTAAAATTCATAAATTAGAAAACATACCTTTACAAGTAAAATATATTATCCATCATCAAGAAAATACTTCAAACCATTAATTTGCTTAATCCATTTCATTATATGATAAATTTATAAAATGTCTTCATTTGTTTATGAAATTATTAACGAAGTGTAGATACTGTTGAAAATATCTCATGTATAGAGTGTATTTTTCGATTATTTAGGCAACTCAAAGTCCTTAACATCCAGTAATCAATAACATATATTAAAATTTATTTATTTAAACACATAAATATTGGTACAAAGCGGTACCAGATACATACGCGCCACACAAATCTCATTTGATTTGTGTGACGGCTGTGATACTGCCCATGTGCCCAAACTGAAACAGGTGGTTTTCTTAGGAGGCCACACCTCGGGCCTTCGACCTAAATGTCTGATCCACTTGGTAGTGGAGCATCGTGAGGAGATGCAGTCCCATGGTAGCCGGTGACCAACGATCCATTCATACGCCATTTGTTCCTTCAGCATACTGGAGCTCATGTGCACCATTGGTTTTGAATCAGGGATTTCTAACTCCCCTAGGTGGATCCTCCACATCCACCAACCCGGTTAAAGCGCCGGACATTCGCTTTTCGTCCTCTCAATTTCGTAAACAACAGTAATGCCACGAGAAGGCAGTGAGTAGGACGTCCCTGACAGAGGCTATATATTCGCTGGCCATGTGAGAGCATTTGGAGATGGAGAGTGGACTCTCCTCCCTCTCGACCGTACCAGGGCATTTGGGGGCATATATTAAAATACGTATGAATCATACATTTCATGTAGATTCAACTTCACATATAATTTCTTTAGTGTATTTATTTTACGAATCAAATGTATTTCATTCTTAGAAACCAAACAATAAATGTAGTTCACATTCTTAAAAATAATAACTGACTTGTATTAGATATGTAATGTACACTACATATACAGACAGACATAAGTAGTAGGACAACTGAATGAAGATGATGATGTATTTAATGTAGGTTTGTCATATTTTACAAGGGTACTGTTTAATGTTGCATGTGACAAATTGCTTTTGCCCACTAGGTCTTCATTCATTACAGATATCCAAAACCAATCGTATGACTTCTGAATGTTTCTATTTACTTCCATTTTATAAAAATTTTTCAATATATATATATAACTAAACTAGCAACCAACTAGGTTTCTCTGTGATAACTATTCACCTCAATAGGTTTACTATTCAATTTTATGTCAGTTGTTTAACAAAAAATGAATCAGATACTTAACTCTGTAAATGATTCAAATTAATTTTTATGAGAGTCGGATAGTATAAGAAGGCAGTTATTAATATTATCATTTATTTTATATTTATCTGACAGCTGATGATTAAAACAAAGATGTGATTTAGTTAGTTTGGTTAAGTGGTCTTTGACCAACTACTTATCTTATTAGGTTAACAGAAATCTGTCAAGTGTACAAATAATTTTTTTCTTTTAGAAAAAATACATTCTTAAGATCACCACTTAGTTTAAGCCTTGAAAAAATAACATTTTTACTATTTAGTCATTTTAGATGTTTGATTTCAAATATTTTGAGGTCATTTCGAATAATGTGTAAAACAAAAATAGAAACTATCAGTTTTAATTTAGTTTTCGAGATCTAACATTTCATGTAGATGTTATATGACCTACTTTTTCTTGGATGAATAGCGGTCTCATACTGACCAGAGAATAATGTGAAAAATGTACTTTTGTGGCTTTAGATCTTACTCTAATTGGATTGTATGTTGATCGTCATCGAAATACACCTGTAGGTTATCCTCGTATATTATTATTGACTTAAATCGCGTTAGTGAATAACGGAGTTAAATAAGTCGAATACGAGAATGGATTTTTGAATATATTTATTTCGTGCACCCACTGATCTGGACAGACATTCAGAGGGATGAAGCGAATAAAAGAGAGCGAAGCAAAATGATGTGCCGTGGAGAAGGCGTGTGAGCCAAGTCCATTTAATCAAGCGCTAACCAATATATATAGCCAGATAAAAATAGGTTACAGACACGTGATGAATAGGATATAAAGTGTACACATATATGCACTCATATAAAAACAGTCGAGGTTCATAAGTGAAAGGTCGAAATATGACTCAAGAAGAATCAATTAGGCTTGCATATCTCTTCTCTCAAGTGAATCAATATTATTAATAAATTCCCTTTTCGTATGTGAGAAAAGCTAACATTTTGTCCAGATATTTCAAATAGCCGATGAATAAATACATATAAGTGACTAAACTATTACTTACACCTGTTACCCCTCGTCGAGGAGCATAGGCCGCCCACCAGCATTCTCCACCCAACTCTGTCCTGGGCAATCCTTTCCAGTTCTTCCCAGTTGTTATTCATCCTTTTCATATCGGCTTCTATTTCCCGGCGTAATATGTTCTTTGGCCTTCCTCATTTCCGCTTCCCTTTCGGATTCCAAGTTAGGGATTGCCTCGTGATGCATATTGGTGATTTCCTTAACGTATGTCCTATCCACTTCCAACGTCTTTTCCTTATTTCCTCTTCAGCTGGAAGCTGCTTTGTCTTCTCCCATAGGACGCTGTTTATGATAGTATCCGGCCAGTGAATGTTGAGTATATTGCGTAAACAACAACGTTAACCAGAAAAAAATAATTCAAACTATGACTTCATGAAATGAAAATTGTTATGTCCTGTGGCCTTGTGTCCCTATCAATGTATAACGTAATGATACCACCCATTAGAGAACAGTGAATTATCGACGCATAAAACCTGTACGAGCAGTCTAGAGTACCTATCGTTCCTTCTCCCTGTTTAGCCCTGCCTGTTGAGTCCAGAACACCAATAACAGCCTATGCTATATGAATCATGTGTTTCAAACATACTGAGTATTTATACAAACCAAAGAGACCACATCGTACCATAAAATAGGAAACCTTTGTACAAAATCTAGACAAAAATGGCTGTGAATGTGGGAGACTGTAATTAATAGACTGGGCATAACCCAAGAAAGGTATATCATATAATAATAGTCTATGGGTCAAAATAAAGCTTTTAATAAGAGGAACATGAATATGCCTAGTTTAGCTACTTAATAATTATACAACAAAAATATCGTATCGTATTTGTCCATAAATAGTTTTCAAACGTTACCCTTCATAATTCTCGTTGGGATATAATAAAAATAACAAAATAATTTCTCAGATACTACTGAACAGTTTTAAAACTGTACTACAGTTGTATAAAACCATATTATTCTTGATTAAAAAATTTCATTGTCAATTAGCATATCGTAATTTACAACAATCTAGTATGATTCATCATACAGATTAAAACTAAATTCATAATTATTATTAACACTGAAACATTGTAAATTAGTTAAAAATCTATTCCCTTATATGAATTACAGTATAATAATGGAATATGTGTAAACAATTTTCTATATATAATATCAGACGACAAACATTAATTCAGAATGTGCTAGAACAAATGTCACAGTTAGATGGTGGTTGGAGGTGATCCAGGTTTCGTGCCACTTGGCACTCGTCAGCAAGGTGTACCTGTAATCTTGAGGGAACTAGTGTTCCCTGAGGGATTCGATTCGGTGTCACCCAGCTTCATAGTCAGAGACGTTACCACTGAGCTATCCGGGCAGCATTCGACCTGCACTAAGAAGGACTTGACACACATGATATTGATCACCACCAAGTGATCAATGAATTGCAAATGTTATAGTGTTTATAAAACCTAATTAAACTTAAAACACATTTCGATTAATTCCAATATGAATTATATAACTATACAGCATACTAATTTTTTTCTTTTTAATTATAAGCAAACCGAAATAAGCTTGTTTGTTATTTCGCATGATTTTTATCGTAGGGATCAAAATTTTAATTAAATCGTTTATTAAAGTAATTTCACAAAATGAAGGAAGAAAAGAAAAAAAACTTTTTTTTTGTTGATAGAAATATTGGATTGCTGAAATTGAACCTTCTCAAGAATAACAACCATAAAGAGTTTTAAAAAATAAATAAAGGCAAAATCATGAGTCATTTGAAGCTAGACCACCATGAAAAACCTGGAAGCACTGGACGGCCGTTCTGTTCTACTATGGGACTTCTCAGCATTGAGCACCCACGATCCCGCCTCGTGGGATTCGAACCCAGGACCTATCCGTTTCACGTGCAAACGTTTAACCTTTAGAACCACTGAACTGGCATCCAACAGTGGTAAAGTCTAACTTCAACCAGTCCGCTAAATTGAGCAACCGTCCACCATTGTCTTTAGTTAGTTACTATCTCACAACAGACCCGGTTGAACTCCACTAGTCACTGCTTCTCAATAGAACTCCAGGAAATACCTCTTGGAACTAGTCACTAATGAGCGTATGATCAATATGATTTCTTTACTTTTTTGTTGATATAAATATTGGATTGCTGATATTGAATGTTCTCAAGAATAATAACCATAAAGAGTTTTAAAAGATAGATAAATAAAGACCAATAAATTTAAAAGATTCATCTAAACAATTCATTTTTGATATGTCTGTTTATGACATTGTAGGTTAATTGGAGTATATATTCTTTATTGAAATAAAATTGTATAAAATATCTTAACAATAATTACTCTTTCTTTTAAGTAGTATAGAATCTTTTTTCTAAAAAAAACAACAAAAAACTGCAATTTTCATGAATAGTCTTCTTACATTATTAATACACTTAAAAATGATTGGCTAATTTAAGTTAGTGAGAAAAAAGGATAATTTATACAGCAATATATTAGTCTATACATGAGATAATAAAGAAAACAATATAACTTTCAAGTTATCTGTAAGTTATAAGATAATTTTAAATTTATCAGAAGGGGGTTTTGTGGAGATTTTAGTAATTTTATATAGTTGAAATGATGAGTTAATTGAAGATAGACCACCATGGAAAACCTGGAAGCACCGAACGGCACTGGAGTCCCACAATAAGATGAAACGGCCTTCCAGTTCTTCCAGGTTTTCCACGGTGGTCTAGCTTCAATTGACTCATCATCTCAACTACTTAAAATTTTAAATTTAACGGTTAAATGTTTTTTATTAAATTATTCTAATATTTATGATAAATGACATTTTAAATGATCAATCTTAAAGCTTAAGCGTATTGTTTATGTAAAAGTCAGTTATACTTCATTCCATTCAAAATTTTTAACTTATTCAAGTCAATTGAACATAAGTACTGTATATTTTGTTCTACAAACTGAAATTGGTTAAAATATAATTGAAGACTAAGAGGCATTGGATATCTGTTTCGTCCTAGCATTAGGCTCATCGACAGTTCGTGTTTACTATCCAATTAGGGATAGAGTTGTTATCCAATGGTTTACATTTCTAACTTTAATTCTCTTAGTACCATTGGTGGGTAACTATCTCACCCCTAAATAGACGTAATCAATTGATCATGATTTATTATAAGAATATTACATAGTTTGGACCATAAGTTATCTGTTTTCATTACTGGATGAGACTATCACTAATAAAAAGATTTGTAATACTTCAATTAATTCTATTTCTATCATGTATTTTTCTTATTGCTTAACAAGTCTATTAATGAAAACAAATCATGTCAATCCTTTTCTTTAATTTTTATTATAATAAGTGTTATTGAAGTCATCAACTGTCTGTGTCCTTATTTCTTCTTGCAAAAAGATGTGATTGATCTCCATACTTCTTGATATTAAACAAATATACATCAGCATCTGACATCACTTCGTCCATACTTAGATGAGGCACCAGATAAGTAAAATTTGTTCTATTTTGATTATCCACACAGGATTTATTATAAGTATGATTATCTATCAAATATTTATCATTCTCTTAGCTTGCCTTTGTTATATGAATACTGAACTGCTTCCACTTCTATAGATGACATTTTTCATATTATTTAATCATTATCTTAAAGAGAGCAAACTTATGTCATTATCTGTAATACCTTTGATTTTAAAATAATATAGGGTGTAAGCAGATGATGACAACCTAACGAAGTCAAGTGAATTCATCTTATAATGCATCAATCTTTGTTTTTGCTCTCTTTAAGATAATCAAGGGAACTATCTATATGAAATATTTAAACATTGTTGTAGTTGACATTTTTGTCAGAAAAAATATGATGTAAACCTATACGTTATCAACCAGAAATAAATTTTATAATTGAAATCATGATTCAATTGAAGCTAGACCACCAGTGCTTCTAGGTTTTTCCTGGTGGTCTAGCTTCAATTGACTCACGCTTTCAACATTTAAAAGTATTTAAATGAATCTTTAAAACTCTAGAAATTGTTTACTTCATTAATTTATTCAAACCAATAAACAAGATTTACATTTGTGCAATTAGAAAGTGATACAATTAAACAAAATTTTAAATGAAAAATAACTGTTTATTCAAGTTCAACGTTACTTAATGAGTTGTCCTTAGTGACAATTTAAATATTGACTTTTATTTAAATTCACTTAGTATTGTTTGTTTGAATCTTCCCATTGATGTTAAGGACTGCAATTGGTCAGTCTCTTATTGGCATATGTGCATACTGTGCATATTGCCTCGATATAGCCTTATTTCACAAGCATTATAAGCAAAGATGGATAGCTGCTAGTAGTGGAATCCAAGATGCGCGTTTCATCCTATTTGGGACTCATCAACTGGATGTATCTACATCTCAGAGTTGATGTTCACTCTGGAACTCGAACCCAAATAGGACGAAACGCACGTCCTGGATTTCACTACTAACTACTATCCATCTTTGACTTTTATTTAGTTATAATAAATTACAATTATTAAAACTTATAATTAACACTATTCTTTTGTTTAGTTATTTACAATTAAAATGGATTCCCATGATTTCAATTATTGGGGTAGACAAATGATTGATTTGATATCAAATTATTTACAAACTATTCATAAATATCCTGTTTTACCAAATGTTGAACCTGGTTATTTAAAACATTTAATACCTAATCAACCACCTGAACAATCAGATACATGGACAAATATATTTGATGATGTGAAAAAGTTTATTTTACCCAGTGTAAGTTTTAATCAATATTAAAAGTAATATATTAAAGGATCAATTCTTTTTCTTTTAATGTTTTAATAATAATCACTGCGGTACGCTCTTTGTCCGCTGGAACGATGAGTTTCTTCAAAGCTTTGAAGAACAATGTTTTGTTAAATAAGTTTAAAACTGATCCTTAATTATGTATTATAAAAGAAAAATATCATTAGAGTATAACTTGTAAAGTGAAATTTGATTATTACTTACTTACTTACGTCTGTTACTCCCAATGGAGCATAAGCCGCCGACAAGCTTTCTCCAACCCACTCTGTCCTGGGCCTTACTTTCTAGTTTTATCCAATTTTTGTTCATTCTTCTCATGTCTGTCTCCATTTCTCGACGTAATGTGTTCTTTGGTCTTCCACTTTTACTTTGGCCTTCAGGATTCCATGTGAGGGTTTGCCTTGTGATGCAGTTGGGTGATTTCCTCAATGTGTGTCCTATCCACTTCCAGCGCTTCTTCCTGATTTCTCCCTCCGCCGAAAAAAACTTGATTATTGATAACTCAGATATTCTTAAGTACATAGAAAATCTTATCACTGAGACATGAAATTCAATATATGGTGAGATATCAAAAGTATTCATATATTATGAAGACTAGAATGTGTAGAAAAGTGATACTTCTTAAATTAACTTATACTATATTCTATTCATGTTTCTTAAAATGATGTAAAGGTAATCCTTTAATTTATGAAACTTATTCTTTTTTGTTACAATTCCTTATATAAGCTGACTCATTGGCAACATCCACAATTTCATGCTTACTTTCCTGCAGCAAATTCAGTACCATCAATTATGGCTGATATGTTGTCTACAGCACTAGGTTGTAATGGGTTTTCATGGGTAAGAAGACATTATATGTTACGTTTTGAGTAAGAGTATAATATGATTTAAGCATTTATTTACATCTAATTTCCCACACCATTCCCCTACATTTACTTTATATTGTTAATATATATTTTAAGTTTGTATAGATCACAAATAATGTCACTGTTAAATAGCCACTGAAATTTGTTGTTTATGTCTACTGTGAGCAGCAATTAATTTTTATACTGTCTTAAATTTTGAAGCAAATTCTTATAGTTCGATCTAATAGAGTGATTTGAATGACAGCCATGAACATACATGAAGCTGTGTGTAATTTGATGTTAAAAATTAAAACCGTGTTAATCCTGAAAATGTGTCTGGGATTTCGGCAATTAGAGATTTACTCCTATCAAGATGAACAAACCAAATAGTTAAAAAAAATAATTTTTATTTTTAAGTGTTCGTCCCCTTTCTGCAAAATCTACTCAGAATAAATGAATGTTATTAACTTATTGTTTGAAAGTGAACAATTTAACTAAACTATAACATCATAGATCATTCTTAAAGGTAAACAAAAGTTAGATAAATTTCGAAAATCACATCGGAACGCGTTAGGTAGATAAAACATCTATTAAATAAGCAACCTGAAAGTTCGATAAATAGTTTAACATTGGAATAATTTAGATTAGATCATACATAAGTAAATGATGTAAAATCCCACTAACTATTTCAATAGAACAATATATGTTAATTCTGAAGACTATTGTATACTACAAGAATCAAATAAATTGATATGAATGAATAAAAGTCTTCTTTATTTTAACTGGTTTGTTCCCATTTTGTATTTTCTTTGAGGTTGCAAGCCCTGCAATTACAGAATTGGAAATTTTAATGTGTGATTGGGTTGGAAAACTTTTAAATCTACCTGAAACATTTTTACATAGTAGCGGAATTGGTGGAGGTGTAATACAAGTAAGGATAATAAATTATTACAATAAGTTATATAAGATTATAAACCTTATCAGTAATTAAACTTAAAAATCCGTCTATTCAATACCTTTTACTAAAATCTAGTATTAAGTGAGTATGGATAATTTAATGAACCATTCATTCATTCAAGAAATTTCTTAACTATTGGATTTCAGAAAGGGAGTTTTGTGGAGATTGTAGTAATTTAATAGTTGAATTCATAAGTTGATTAAGGCTAGACCACCATAGAAAAACTAGAAGCACTGAACGGAGTTCTAGTGAGAAGCTGTGACCAGTGGAGTCCAACCGAGTCTATTATGAGGCAGTAACTCATTGAAGGCAAAATTTCGTGGATTGGTTGAAGTTAGACATTAACAACTTTGAATGACGGCTCAGTGGTCCAGAGATTAAGCGTTCGCCTGTGAGATCTAAGGCCTCGGGTTCGAATTCCGTCAGCGTGATCATGGATGTGCGCTATTGAGGGGCCCCATACTAGGGCGAAACGGCCGTCCATTGCTTCGAGATTTTCCATGGTGATCTAGTTTTAATCAACTCATGGATTCAACTATTAAATTTCAATCTATATATAATCATTAATTTGAAAAGACTGGTTTAAAAGCAGTTTAATATAGTTGTTCTGACTTGTATGAGGTTAACAAATAAATGCTATCAATATCACTGAATTTACTGAGCAGTTTTATCATTTAAAATTTATTGTTGGTTCATTAATTATTTCATTTAAATAAAATAATTCACTTTATTATATGTGAAAATTATATTTGAAATAATCTCAGCGATTGAAATTTAAATAATTCCAACGTTTCGTCCAGTTAACTTGTCTGGACTTCGTCAGGGTCAGGCTATTCGTTCTAATCTTAACGAACATTCGTATAATTTATTTCAACGTATGTTGTGTTATCCCATCACTGTAAATTTCAGTGATATGATTAGGATAATCACCTTACCCATTTTGATCTGTAAAACATCTTACACAGTTATATAACCTTATCTGTAAAATTTTATTCCGTAGTTCAAACATTTTCTTGTTTATTTATAAACATTTATTTTCCTGACTTATATTATGAAATGTAACTTAACACCTAAATACATAAAAATCATCTGGTCATTTTAAAATGGATTTCCTAAAGCTCTATTTGGAAATCTTGATTTGTACAGTTAATCATATAGGAGATTATTCAGCTACTTCGAAATCCAATCAAATGAGGACTGTACTACATTGCAGATTGACTGAAGTTGAATATATTACCATTCGATAATGACAGAAAGGCTTCATAGTATCAAGATTTTTACAAAATCGAGAACTCGTGGATTCAAATTTGGTATACATCAAAGGTACGAACTGGTAAGGGACCATAAACTCAGTAATTCTGCAGATTATATCAGTTTGTGATTAAGCTTATATTATAGCTTTAATAATCTCCAGTGAATCATCTAAAAATCTAAAGATTTATTTCCATTTTTGTAAAACGATCAGCTTCTTCAGTGTTCTTTTAGTTCACGGGTTCCTACCGTTATGAAACTTATCGTATCTTACTTTTAAATTATGTCTACTTTCAGTATACTGATTATTATTATGAGTCATATGTAGTTGATGATGATAAATTAATGGTATTTATAAGACAGTAAAATTAATGAACGTTTATTAGCACGTGTTTTTGTGGAGATTGTTGAATGTTATTGAGATTACTAACCGATTTAAACTAGGCAATCAGTGAAAACTAGGAAGAGCAGGGCAGCTGTTTCATTTTCTGATGGGGCTTCACACCATTGAACATCTGCAACCTTACTGGGAGTCGAACTCAAGACATTTGGGTCATTCTAGTTACGTAGAACTATCTTATAACTTTTCTCAGACTCTATTCTGAAAGTCTGTTCTAAAAGAAGAAAAACCGGAGAAATATTTGAGGCAAAATGTGAATTAATTAATCTAATAAAAGAGATCAGTGAAACGAAATAGTGACTGATCAAAAAAGTTTTATTTTTTAAAAAACAGTCTACCAGTGATTCAATGAACGTAACACCTCAAATATATGTAATAAATCCTTCAACCTTCACATATCTGCTGAACAACAGGTGAATACTTATTTTACATAGCGAAATCTACTTCTCTTCTTGATTGGTCAGTGTAATCACTTTTCTTTTTTTAATACTTGCAGTCGTCAGCAAGTGATTGTATATTTGTATCAATGTTAGCTGCTCGTCATCAAGCAATTGAGCGTTATAAACATCTTTTAGATATGATCAGTGATTTAGACCCTGAAATTATGGTTCTCTCCAGACTTGTGGCATATGCATCCACGTTGGTAAGTTTAACTTCTCTTTTTGTATATTTAATTTTATTGAAAGATATGGTGAAGTTGCGGTCTTGTCTTTCTCCTTCTAACCCCTAAGTACCTGGTTTACAGATTTATGTACATAGATTCGTGATACATTTAATTTATGTGAGGGCTAGTGATTTTCTTGGTTGCTGAAAGTGAGGTAAGTGAAGCGTGGTTCAGACCTGCGATGTACCAGTTGAAGGCTGAGAGTTTAAAGCCCTAAGCCACTTAATAGCAAGCATAGCTTAATCAATGAAGTTTAACTTCTTTGTTGTTACGAATAAAAAAATGGAGGAATGATTAATTGCTTTATGAACATCTTCAAACTAGAATAATCTTTTATTATTTAATACTTCATGTATAAATAAAAGGGTGAATTCTCTCATATTTATACAAACACAAGGTCGGTTGACTAGTGGTTTCGATACAGATTTTGTCAAAATATTAGCTGAAGTGTCCGTTCAATGTCACAGACATGTGAGATGCTAATTACCTGCATTCTTTAAATAACCATTTTGTCTTAAAGATAAGCTATTTGAAGCTTATTCAAAGAATCTAAACAAAGTGTTATTTATATTTTTCCTACTCAAATGTTTCGATATATATATATATATATATATATATATATATATATGTTTCTATATACACTTGTAATGCGTACCTATAAATGGTAAACCGATGAAGCTTTCTGAAAACTCTTCTATTGAAATAGAATTATTTCTTCTGTAGAAAATGTTTTACTCGCATTAGTTTCAAATCTTTATTAAAAATTTAGATCATGTTCTCTAACTTACAAATTTTTTCATGGTTTACAGGCTCATTCAGCTGTAGAAAAGGCTAGTGTCCTTGGTTTTGTAAAGTTACGTCATTTACCAGTCGATGAAAACTTTAGTATTCAAGGTGAAACTTTACAACGTGCTATTAAAGTAAGATAAGTATTTTGTTTATAGAAAATCTATACTTCTTACTCCTCATTATAACGGAAAGTACATATTATTATAGTTATATAATTATTCAGTTTTCACCATCATAACTCAGCAGTGAAGAAACAGAGCTCTCTAAGAGACCAGTAGCTCAAGTCCTTAATTCTGTTTTGAGTAGTGTATACACAATGTTGAAGGATCCGAAACTAGGACGAAACAGGTGTCGGATAGTTTCTGTTTTTCAATAGTTTTTCAGATGGTGCTTACGCTTGAAGGAAGCTACCTACGTACATACTTATTTACTTACGCCTGTTACCCATTATGAAGCATAGGTCATCGATCAAGAATCCTTAACTAACGCTGTACTGCCTTCGAATTTCCACTTTTTGCCAGATGCCATTCATAAATTTTGATGTCTGACTCAAATTCTCTGCGCAGTATGTTCTTTGATGTGCATCCTTTCCTTCTACCTTGAGAACTCCGAAGTAGGACTCGGTTTGTAAATCAGTTTTTGATATATGTCTCATCCACCCCCAGCATCTTTTCTTATTTTCCTCCCCATTTAGAAGCTGGTTTGTCCACTGTCGTAGTAGGCTATTGATAATGGATCTGGATTTTCGTACGTAGATAGCTGTTTATAAACACCTGTACCCTTGTGATGATGGTTGTAAAAGTTCTCTAAATTCCTGTTCCGTACAGTAGGACTGTTTTAAAGTTTGTATTGGATATTCTGGCTGTGTTGGTGGCTTAAAGTTGTTTAAAATTCTAGATATTCTTCAATTGTAGGTATACTGCCCTTACTTTGCCAATCAGCACCTTCACATCTGCTTCAGGTCCTCCCTGTTTATCAATGATGCTACCAAGGCACGTAAAAGTTTCCACTTCTTCTAGAGCTTCTCTACCAAGTGTGATTCGGTTGTGCTCACTGTGATATGTTCTCCTTCCGTATGCTGATGCCTGCTGCTGTAGAGACTGCTTCTAAACTAAGTATCTTCACCTACAGGATAGAGGAAATAGGTCATTTGTGAAGTTTAAATAGTCTAGCTACATACAAGCTGCTCATTGTATTCTGTTCTTTTCCTGAGATGTGGAGGTCTTCATAATCTAGTCAACCACCAGAAAAAACAAAATTAGCTACAGCGTAATTCATCGTTACCGTTTTGACTGCCTTTTTAAATAACAGTTAAATTGATGTTCCGAAACATCTATCTACTTTGTGGTTTGTTTCAAAAACACGTATCATGCCACCGTTCTGTTTTAAAAATAAAGTAGTAGTTTTCCATTGCTGTTGAGAGCAAGCACTAATTGAGAAGAACTGGTGGTCTCATCTGCTGTTACAAATCGAGAGTGACTAATGTTGCCATCATCAGTGTACCTTCAATGTTTTGCTTGGTATCTTAGTCTAACAAATATTTGTTACAATATTATCAAGGCCAAATTCCTCCATTTATCATCTTGTTTTCAGGAAGACAAGGCTATGGGACTTATTCCATTCTATGTAAGTTAGTAATTTTTTGTCTTCTCTTATTAACGTTTTATTTATGTGCCTCTTTCTATTGCTTTGCTTCATTTTATATCAACTGCAATCGTATTTCGATGATTTCAAGTTACTATCACACTCTATCATATGCAGATTTTACTTATTACAACGTGTTATCTCTTCATTTCTATTCTGACACTAGCATCCCGATTTGGCAAACGGACATCCGATCACGTTTTTTAGTTGACTTACCTTTTTTCATTTCAAAGTACATCAGTAGTTGTCAGTATACAACTAATTATCTTTTCGTTCATATATAGCCTGGCAGAAACTAAAGTAATCTAGTGGATTAAATATAGGTTGTAAAATTTGTTACTGTGATATTATGTGTTCCCATGGTTATGGATAAATAGATGAACAAAACCTTATAGTGTATGAAGTTATGTGAACAAATAATGTAAATCCTGGTTCTTGCATTTCGAATAGGTGGTCGTCATTCAGAAATGAGAACGGAGTTACTGAGATTTTAGAAGACTTGTTCAGAATGCGTCGAGTATTGTCCAACTAATTTGACCCGGAAACAATCTAGTATTTCATGGATAAAATGGAAAGACCAATTTGTGTAACTTTAAACGAAATTAAGACAGAGATCAAACATTTTCAATCATTAAAACGTAAACCAATTCTCTGTGCTCCCAAATGCCCTGGTACGGCCGAGAGTGGGGGGAGTCCACTCTCCATCTCCAAATGCTCTCACATGGCCACGCGAATATATAGCCTCTGTCAGGGAAGTCCTACTCACTGCCTTCTCGTGGATGGGGTGTTGTTCACAAAAGTGAGAGGACGAAAAGCGAACGTCCGGCGCTTTAACCAGGTCGGTGAACACAGAAAGTCCACCTAGGGGAGTTAGAAATCCCTGATTCCAAACCAATGGTGCACATGAACCAAGTGTTGGTCACCGGCTACCATGGGACTGCATCTCCTCACAATGCTCCACTACCTAGTGGACTAGACCTTTAGGTCAAAGGCTCCGGGTGTGGCCCACTAAGAAAACCACCTGCTTTAGTTTGGGCACCTTAGCAGTATCACAGCCCTCACACAAATCGAATGAGATTTGTGAGGCGCATATTTATCTGGTTCTTCCTTGTACCAATATTTATGTGTTTAAATAATAATAATATAAACCAATTCTCATTGCACATAATGTAAGATACTTGCGAAATTCAGATTTCTCTGTGAGTATATCATCCAAAGATGAATGGAATTATATAATAAATTAATTATGGGAAAAAACAATTAAATACTGGATATTTAGTGTGTTATTTGTTGGTGTGATCATGAAAATTTATCGCAATGGACATGACAAGCTCAGGAAACATTAAGGAGCATATTTTCCAATCAGCGTTTGACTAGAAGTTCTGCTAGAAACATCACGAAAATGAAAATGTATAGTTTCCGATTAGCTGATTACTACACTGCCACTATGTTTGGTAGCATTCCAGAATTTTCAGGAAAACCCAAGGACTTCTAAAATACTATAAAAACCCTAGATTTTCTGTATATAAATGAACCTTTGGAGTAAAGTGCTTATCGCATATTTTGCGCCTTTTCTCTCGTGTTCAAGTCGCTGTGTAGATCTAACTTGGGGGTTACGAGACTAGCTTAGGATTCAAGTATAGCGTTCAATCAGCAAGACTTATCATTATTAAACTAAGTTTCATTATTAAAACATCCTAAGTGTATTCATCTTCATCACCAACTGATGTATAGTTGTAATAGGATTGCTTATGATTTTGTGAATTTAGATTCAAAAAGTCATCAGATAGAAGGTAAAGTTTCATTTCATATGATGTTTACCCAACTTCAATATCTTATGCTATGAACTCCAGACTGACAGATTCATTTCATCTAAATTTATTTAATGTAACTATATAATTTACATGAGGTTTTTCATGTAAATTTTAAATGTACTTACCCATGACGGGGGTGTGTTAATTCAGAAAATAATTTTCAAACAGTGTATGAATTTACAAGCATGATCATCTGACTCATGATTCATACAAAGATTTGTTTAGGCACTTGTCAACTGATATAGCTTGTTGTCAAACTCAACGTAATAGTGAACATCAGCTTCAAAATACCGGTTTCTTTCACCATAAGCACTGTCCTGTCCTAAAAGGTAAATAAACATATGAAGTATCAAGATGACTGTTTATGCAATGAAGTGTTTGATCGGAATATATAAATAACAGTGAATTCGTCAATTAACTACCCTTATGGAAGACACATTAGGACAATAAATTTTGAAAATCATGTCATCGTTTTCTGAATATTATTGAATAACTTCTATTATAATGTTTTCATGATGTACCCAAAATTTGACGAAAACTTTGTATTTAGACTTTTTTAGACGAATGGATGATCAGTAATCTATAAATTTCCTATTCTTTATGAAATACACTTCGCTAGTTAAATTAAATCAGTTGTATAAACGGAGATATTCAGAATCAACTGACTTACTAGATACGATGTATTGTTAGAGAGAAACAGTGATTTGAGACTGACACCTTAGTCTTCCTATGAAATTGTGAAAGGGACTTATCAAATGCATGATTTCATGAAGTTGGTCTACATGAGCTCGAATCACTTTAACCGAAATGAAATGATTTGACATTGATTTATTCAGACCTGTTTTTGATTGATCACCTAATATTCTTGGATTGTTCCGTTGTAGTATTTAAACTTGGATTAATGTTAATTTGGTTATTTATTCTCTGAAGAAGTGGCTTACACTAAGTCACGAAACGTCAGAAAATCTAATTTTTCTACTCATTGGGATATTACAAATATATTATTTATTTATTTAAAAAAATTGTTTTGTTTTAAGGTGTGTGCAACACTCGGAACAACATCATGTTGTTCATTTGATAATTTAAAATCTATTGGACAAGTATGTCGTGAAAACGATATTTGGTTACATGTGGACGCTGCATATGCTGGGAATGCTTTTATATGTCCGGAGTTCAGACACTACTTAGACGGAATTGAGGTAAGTTAGATCTACAACAAATTTCATTTAAAGCATCTTTTGCTGAATCTGTTACTAAACGTTATTATCTGATAAAGGCGAAGAATTTGAATTCCAGTAATTATGTATTGTCATTTTGTTTGGAACTACTTCAAATGTTTGGAAGGAAATACAAAAAAATCTTCATCTAATTTATACATGATAATTTATGGATTACAAGTGATAATCAATAAAAAACTTTCATAACCATTCCCTAAACTGATAATTGATATTTCATGACATTAGAAGTCAGTCAATTATTCATCTAACCAAAATCAACACCCATTTGTCTCTCTTTGTCTTGAAACCTGTAATTATGAATCAGCTAAAAGCATTATTATTCTGCTTCTAGCAATAAAACTATCTACGCAATTCTAGTCATTCATTTTTGTATAGATAGCTTGTCGAGTGTCAGGAATATATTAAACAGTAAATTGGACTTCAGACATGAAAGTACTACTATAGTGAGCGAGAACACAAGTGGGGACAATCGAATGTATTTGAACACGAAATTACAGAATACCTTAGTAAAATCTGACAACCATATGGTAAATCATTCATTTGCAAAATATCAGTCAATCTTCTCAGACTACATGGTTCTTTCGTTTCTACACTAATCATTCTTTGTTCTCGTTCTCTTTTCTTTTATCTTCTCAACTTTTGATTGATGATACATACTACTTATATCTGTCGACATCAGTGGTACACCACACTATTATCTTGACTTTCCTAAACGATTTTTAAAAAAAGCTCCAACAAGTTTAGTATTTAGTGACGTTTCACACATACTGTTTGTTTACTTTATTTTCCGAGTATTAATCAACTTCTAAATCCTAGCTAGTTCATCATCATTTATTAAATTTTCACAGTTGAAATCATGAGTCAATTGAAGCTAGACCACCATCGAAAACCTGGAAGCACTGGACGGCCGTTTCGTCCTATTATGGGACTCCTCAGCAGTGCGCATCCACGAACCCGCTCTCGCGAGCGAGATTCGAACCCAGGACCTACCAGTCTCGAGCCGAAGCCCTTAACCGATAGACTAGTTCTAGTGGGAAGCAGTGGCCAGTGGAGTTCTACCAGGTCTGTTGTAGAGATATCATCTCACTGAAGACAATTGGTGAACGGTCGCTCAATATCGTGGATTGGTTGAAGTTAGACATTAACACCGTTGGATGCCAGCTCAGTGGTCTATCGGTTAAGGGCTTCGGCTCGAGACTGGTAGGTCCTGGGTTCGAATCTCGCTCGCGAGAGCGGGTTCGTGGATGCGCACTGCTGAGGAGTCCCATAATAGGACGAAACGGCCGTCCAGTGCTTCCAGGTTTTCGATGGTGGTCTAGCTTCAATTGACTCATGATTTCAACTGTGAAAATACTAAATTCTCCACAAAACCCCTTCTGATTTATTAAATTTCATAATTCTTTTGTTTGAATTAATGAGCATGTCGTTCTTTGTAGTGACAGCCTTCTAGGTTTAAATCTGAATTGCACCTAACATCATTCACTATTTACGTTTTTATTCTCTTGTGCTTAATTTAATTCCAGTTCTTTGGCTTAAATCTTAACCACTTCTTTTAAGTGTGTTATCTTTCTTTATAAACCCTTGATTGTTTTCCACTTTAAGTAACGAGGCCAGTATCAGCTAGAATAAATTAGTGGTAAGATCTCTGATAATTCAACTGAATCAAGTTGATTTTAATTCTTAAGTGCAGGTTTTCCTGAGTCAAGGAAACTCCCTGATATGTATTACGAAGAATACTAAGAAGTTTTCCTTCATTTTCTCTATAGAAGAGTTCAGATATCGAGCTTCTTACTTTAGTGGTTACACTACAAAATGATCCATAGAATTTCACCATTAGATGGTATGACCATGATTGTTATTCAGTGGCCACTTAGTAATATTCATCAACTATTGTATGAAATAAATTCTTAATTAGTTATGAGAAATATCTTTTATCTTTTTCATTAGGATGCTTGGTCCATCAACATCAATCCAAACAAGTGGATGCTAGTCAGTCATGATTGCAGTCTTATGTGGTTAGTTTGACTGACCTTTTTGAAAATGTACAAGAAATACTACTATAGTGTTCGTTTATACAATGATTATTCAGTGCACTCATATGATTTGTTACAACTATCCTAACTGATGCAAATTACTCCACAAAACTTAGTACACGTCTAACTGGCTTGAAATAGAAAATTACATTACAACCTATAGTTTTTACGCCGTAATTACTTTCATCAAAGGAAAGTATATGCAACAGGTTTTCTTTACCGTATTTACTTTAATACATCACTTTACCCTACAACTGCTATGTTTATCCATTTGATGTACGGAGACCCCCTTTATTTTACGTACTGTTAAAAAGGAAAGATACGTTAAGTGTACAACCTACGAATTCAAAGTGCAATATTCATCTTATTGTATTCGATCGATTTATAAATCTCAGTTACTTGACATTATTTAATATTAAACCATCCGAGGAGGGTTCAAACTCAAGAAGCTACCAAGGGTTTATAACACTTTTTCATGATATAAGAAATTTGTCCTTAACTAATACAAAATCTGTCTAGAGATTATGTAACAAAATAATAGCATTTGTGAATTCAACCACATAGCTTTCATACGTAAATATATTTGTAAAAGGAAAAACGTATTAATCTACCAGAGATTTCGTTATCGATTCGAAAATATCAGATAATGGAATCTTTGAATCAATTGTCTTATTTTACATTGAAAGATAGTTTGTGTTGAGAAGCTTCAAAACATGTGCATCAACTAAGTCTGGATAAAAGTATTCTAAAAATATGTTTGCAAAAGATCGAAAATTTTGTTTGCACTTACATGTTGTTCGTGTGTATTGATTTTGCAGTTGACAATTTCACTAACAGCCACATCATTAAAACAATCTGTTTCTTTATACCAGTGGTTGACATTTTCGACAATAGTTAACAACTGATGTAAAGTGAAATATTTTGTTTTTGTCGAATACAGGGTACGTGATTCGAAAGCTTTAACTAAGAGCATGATTGTCAATCCGTCATATTTACAACATAAATATAACAGTAAGTAACATTTAGATCACTCTTTTCTTTTATTGGTATTGGTTCATACATACATACTTACTTACGCTTGTTACCATCAATTAGGCATAGGCCGCCAACCAGCTTTCTACAACCCACTCTATCCTGGGCCTTACTTTCTAGTTCTATCCAGTTGTTGTTCATTCTTCTCATGTCTGTATCCGTTTCGCGGCTTAATGTGTTTTTTGGTCTTCCTCTTCTCCTTTGGCCATGAGGATTCCAAGTAAGGGCTTGCATGTGACGCAGTAGGGTGCTTTCCTTAACTTGTGTCCTATCAACTTCCAGGGCTTCTTCCTGATTTATTCTTCCTCTGAAATCTAGTTTGTTCACTCCCAAAGTAGGTTATTGCTGATAGTGCCTGGCCAACGGATCCGAAGTATTCTGCGTAGACAATTGTTAATAAACACCTGTATCTTTTGGATGATGGCTTTCGTAGTTGTCCAGGTTTCCCCTCCCCCATTTGTATTGAAAATTCTGATCTTGGTGTTGGTTAAAAATTGTTTTGAGTTCCAAATGTTCTTCAGTTAAAGATATGCTGATCTTGCTTCGCCGATCCTCGCCTTCACATCTGCATCAGATCCACCGTGTTCATCAATGATGCTCCCTATATATGAAAGCGTTTTTACATCCTCTAAAGCTTCTCCATCAAGTGTGACTCGACTGATGCATCTTATGTTGCATCGGAAAGTCTTGCTTTTCCCTTTGTGTATGTTAAGACCCACTGTCGGTACATAGGAATACCAAAATAATTATCAGTCAGTCAGCAACAACACAACATAAGTAGGAAATAAGATTGTAAGGAGATCTAGGAAGGAAAGTGAATATGATTAAAATCAAGTCAATGAGTGAAGATAAGTGAACGATGGTAGTGGTACGTAGTGCCAGATGCAGTTCACTTACGAAAAATACAACCGGAAAAAATTCTCTCAGTTAAAGAAGATTGTGTCACTTTAAAAAAAGGTGAAAGAAAATTACAACACGATTATCATCGGCTTCTATCCTAAGCCATGTCTGATAGCATCTCAACCCATTGAGTTGCATTATCTCTCGGACACCAACTGGGGAGTCGTGATGTGTTGACACATCGCAGTTCTATACAGACTTAATCCATACCCTGACACTATGTCATCAACTGACCACCTCTCAACTTTCTCCAACCAGTTTCAGTATCGGCAAATAATGCACGATGTGTGATTGGTTGGGATGACCTTGTCAGTCCATGTGCAAACCGCTGAGATCGGTGTTTCAAGATGGTGACACCAATTGAATTGTCGTCACTGTGGCGGGACACATTTTGCCGAACCTTCACAATACTATTATGATGTTGCCTTAAATAACTGCCTGTTCCTAGTACGGAACTCGTCAGTAGTGAACACCCACAATCTTTTTGGTGATCAACCTAGGGACCTTAAGTCTTGCACTCAAGAGCCTAAACTGTCGATCACCTACCCAAAATTCAAGTGCATCTATTTGACTTCGACCAGCTTGCAATGATTCCATATATACATTTTACAATTAGAAGAATTAGCTAATTCCTACTGTTTCACTTTGTAACTATTAAAATGACTAATTCCGAATACCCATATTTATGTCTATTTCTGCGTATATTTAGCTGGTTTCACTGACTGATTATCTGTTTGTATGAAATACTTGTTTTCTTAACATAATTCTACTACCAATACTAACACAGTCCCTGCTTACGTTGTGTTAATGCCCATGCAATCAATGTTCAAGTTGAATTGCGAGTAATAATTTACACCAGTTACTTCGAACGAAATGATGAGCAGTTACTGCTAGATAAAGGAGTAACTTATCCTTCCTCCCACTTTCAATGATTAAGTCTAAAACCAAAGGTTATCTAGGGAGCCTTAATCTGGAATTTCGGATCACTATTTCATTTCGATAATAGATATTACTTGGAAAAAAATAGTCCTAGAAATTTTTATCATGAAAATGATTAAAATCAAACAATCCATTTGTCAGAAGGGAGTTTTGTTGAAATAGTTGAAATCATGAGTCAATTGAAGCTAGACCACCATGGAAAACCTGGACGGTCGTTTCGTCCTATTGTGAGACTCCTCAGCTCCTTAGAATTCCATTCCTGTTAGTTTGTTGATAACTTGCAAAAATGATTTTAATTTATTAGTACTTTATGAACATTTCCTCAATCATTTTTCTTGATAAATAATTTTTTTTATCAAACTAATCTTTCTAATTTTTAGTGCTCGATTTTCGTGTAAGTTATTCAATTTTATTAGTAGTATTTTGTTATTTACACTAATTGCTTACTATTTATAGACACAATTTTTATGAATCGAAGAACTATATATCTATTTATATTCGACAAATTTGATGTTTTATTATATTTCCTTGAAAAAGCTTGAACCAGATTGCCAGACCAAAAGTTGGATTTACTTCAAATTCATTCGCTGAGATTTTACAAATATATTATTCCTAATTAATGTCTTACATCAACTCGGCGCCCAAATACTGTGAAACTATTCGCTCTAATTTAAACGAAAGTTCTTATATAGCAAAGAGTCATTTAGTCACTTGAATAATTCGGAAATTTTTCTCAATCACTTTGGATAATAGTTACTGTGAATATATTCTTCTGATTACCTAGGATTTGAACAGTTAATATAAACGTTTAATTCTGAAAATAAATTAAACAAATAGGTTTTATAATCAAATGTGTTTAGTATATGCCTTTTCATTGCAGTTTCTTTATGTAAATCACTGTTGATAAGACTTCATTATATTGTCATTCTAATAGGATATCAAAATTTTATATAATTCACACAATGGAAAAATCAACATGGATTCAATAACTATCGGCTCCCCAATACCCTGGTACGGCTGAGAGTGGGGAGAGTCCGCTCTCCCTCTCCAAATGCTCTCACATGGCCAGCGAATATATAACCTCTGTCAGGGAAGTCCTACTCACTGCCTTCTCGTGGCGAGGGTGTTGTTCACAAAAGTGAGAGGACGAGAAGCGAATGTCCGGCGCTTTAACCGGGTCGGTGGACACGGAGGGTCCACCTAGGGGAGTTGGAAAACCCTGATTCCAAACCGATGGTGCACATGGGCTCCAGTATCCTGATGGAACGAATGGCAAATGAACCTGCTGTTGGTCACCGGCTACCATGGGACTGCATCTCCTCACAATGCTCCACTACCTAGTGGATCAGACCTTTAGGTCGAAGGCCCGAGGTGTGGCCTCCTAAGAAAACCACCTGCTTCAGTTTGTGCACCGGGGCAGTATCACAGTCGTCACACAAATCTCATTTGATTTGTGTGGCGCGTATGTATCTGGTGCTTTTTTGTACCAATATTTATGTGTTTAAATAAATAAATAAATAATCTCATATCTTTTAATATTGAAGTAAAATTGTACTGTTTTATATTATGCAATATAGCTTGTTAGTATTGTTTTCTTTACTAAATTTTAGCACTGGGGAATTCCTTTAAGTCGAAGATTTAGAGCTCTTAAATTATGGTTTGTAATTCGAATATATGGAGCAACAGGTTTGAGAAATTATATTAGATCAGTAAGTAAGCAACTGAATTGCATTAATCTCTTTAGTAATAGGTATTTGGTTTGTGGTAATCGTGAATTCACTGGTTATTAATCCATTAAACATTTCATACACAACGAATACAATCAAACTAATGTCTCTTTTATATTCCTCTGTTGACCAATATAATAGGGTATTGATAAAGCATCTTGTATTACGAAATGATGTTAAAGGTTAATTTAATTATCAGTGTAAATAATTAAATTGAGTAATAACCCTACAAATGTTTCACATATTTTATTGTATTAGTAAAACGTTAACCATACTGACTGTATGAAGACAGATAATCAGACGATCAATATTTCGAGGTTACTCAACGTTACCAAGTTGATTTGTATTTTAAATCACTACCCTTGTGATTGTTGTACATCATCACACTAATCATCAAAAGCCATGTATACTTGACCTACATAATCATTTCCTGTTCACTTTCCACAATATGTATATAAAGAGGTTAGATCTTTTCTTCCTTTCTTGAGACAAAAAATTTCTACTGAAGTCTAATCTTTCTTCTTCTAACTTACATGCGGCTGTCATGGCCTTGTTTTATTCATTTAATCTATCTAATAGAAGTCCCTCTCCCATATCGATAGTATCTCCCAGGTTTGATTAGCGCCTCAATAAGAGAGCACAATTCAATTAAACATATGTTGTACGACAATTTACTTTTTCTGTTATACTAGGAAATTAAGCTCACATAAGTGCTCGCCACTAGACTAGATATTTCTAGGTCCAACCCCAGGTATGATCATGTATCCGCACTACTGAGAGATACCGTACTAAAACAAGACAGCTGCTTAATTCTTCCTGATTCTCACTGATAGTCTAGCTACAATCAATCTGTGATTTAATTTATCAAAAATTTTAAAAAAATTTTACAAGCCTCTTATACTAAAAAATATATTTTTAAACATTTCAGCATGTACAACTTGCAAGATACTTTGTGAATAAGGTGAGAGCAAATAACGCTTATGAAATTGTCGGTAATCCAGTTATGGGACTTGTATGTTTTAGATTAAAGGTAGGACACTAAAATTTTCTTCTATTTTCATTCTAAGTTGAATGAATTTAAAAGTAGATATTTCCACCATGTTCTATGTCATGTTCAATCAGTGAATACTATTTATAGTATTGAATCAACCTTTTATTTGCAGAATAGAATGTTTGTTTGAATATAATTGGTATCTCATGTATAAATAGATTTTTTCTATTATTATTTCATTATGAAATTAAGCAATAAGCTTCAAAATGATTGTGAGGCAAGGAATTATTTCTAGGTGGGTTGAATTTATTCCACAATATTCTTACATTATGTTGGAAATTCATATTAGATTGGATTGTCAGTTATAATCACTTCATCATATATACTAGTTATCGTCTGAAATGAATTTAGAATTTCTGAAAATTTCCACTTGAAATTAGACTGTAATTGACAATCAAGATAACTGAGTGTAGGAAAGTTAAGTTCGAAAATTATTCATGTAGAAAGAAGTTTTATTACTTCATCTCCAATGAAATAGATTTTTGCCTAGTAGAAATAGCTTTTCTATGACTAATTTGTTCAGATATGAAATAGAAATATGGTTATCTCTTTTAGTTATGTATGACCTATTAAATTTACTGGACGTATATCTGAAAAACTAATTATTAAGATCAATATCTTATAATTATACTTAACATACATATAGACTGAAGATAATAGCATAGTAAATAACTATATGTGACCAATTTCCATGATTTTTACCTTAGGATTATAGAGTTATCTTGTTCTCTGATGTCATATATGTAGATATTACGGAGAAAATTTATATTCATTAGAGATAATCAATCTATTAGACTGGAAACATCAAGTGATGTTTCCTACATATAATTCCCTTTATTGACTTAAAGAGAACAAAAATTAAAATTTGAACAAGATGACATAAATTCATCGTATTTCATAATGTTTTCAGGTTTTTAAAACCTGTAATATTTACGAATCAAAATAATGTAGTTGAAAATACAGAAACAATTTTGAGCAAAGATGGATAGTGGCTAACATTGGAATACAGGACGCGCGTTTCGACCTATTTGGGACTCGTCAGCTGGATGTACTTGCATCTCAGAGTCGATGTTTACTCTGGGACTCGAACCCAGTACCGTTCGCTTGAAACGCCATCGCGTTATCCACTCAGCTATTGAGTCCTAATAGCCACCTGCTTGTGCAGTGGGGTGAAGTTTAAATGCACTAAGCATTGTTTGTTTGAATCTTCCCATTGATGTTTATGACTGCAACTGGTCAGTCTCAAATTGGCATATGTGTATACTGTGCGTATCGCCTCGATATACCCCTAAGTCCCAAGCATTATGAGTAAAGATGGGAAGAATCAAACAAACAATACTAAATGAATTTAAACTTCACCCCATTGCACAAGCAATTGGCTATCAGGACTCAGTAGCTAAGTGGATAACCCGATGGCGTTTGAAGTGAACGGTACTGGTTCGGGTCCCAGAGTGAACATCAACTCTGAGATGCAGGTACATCCATCTGACGAGTTCCAAATAGGACAAAATGCGCATCCTGGATTCCACTGCTAGCCACTATCCATCTTTGCTTACAATGCTTGTAAAACAAGGCTATATCGAGGCAATATGCACAGTATGCACATATGCCAGTTAGAGACTGACGAGTTTCAGTCCTTAACATCAATGGGAAGATTCAAACAAGTAGTACTAAGTTAATTTAAAACTAGTAAAGTTTAATTAACTAAACACAAAATTGTCTTGCTAAAACAGCGTGAAAAAATGATGGGAAGAAATGATCAAATGAACGATGTGGTCGAAAAAAATTACTATAGTATATGCAAACTGACAACACTTTCCTGTTGACCATATAATGGGTTTCCAGCTCTTGGTAGTAATAGTTTCTGTAAATATGAGAAGGCTAGAGCCAGGTTATTTGGTAGCGTCCACCTGATATCCTGTGTACAGAATAGTCATCTCAACTTCTTTATTCCTTTTAAAACATATTCAAAAGTAGGATCTTCTATCTGTTCTGTCAATGTAAATATCTTGAAAGGTACAAGTAAATTCATGGATACGATTGGTAGTAATGTAAAATGGGTACCCTCCATCCCCTAACTGAGTTACTGAACACATCATTTTATACGAAATTATTGATTTGCCTGTTGGCTAGATTCCAGTCATTCTGGTGTTAATTCTTCTACGGATTGTCTTATCACAAAGATCAACTGTAGATATGGGGTGAACATCAATGAACTTTCGTGAATAGGAGTAATTTCTTAAGAAAATACTTGAACCTTATCGATTCTTGAAGTTTGTGCGTGGTATGTGCACTATCCACACTATGAATTAGTGTTTTAACTTTATGTCACTGATTGAATTAAAATCATTAAAGTTCAGATATGAATTACTTAATATATTTTATAGGTATTAATGCTTGATAGTCTCAAATAAATTAAGCATTGGGTAGAAAGTTTTTCATTGATCATACTCGCATTTCAACGCACAAATTAATAATACAATGACAAATTATACAAATTCATATTGACCAAGAATAACTTGATAGTGACATAATCAGACCTTTTATGATTTTGACCGTACTAAAAGTATTCTGCATTGTTACATTTGTACTATTTAAACTTGTGTTAATTTAAATTCGGCTATTTGTTAACTTTGAAGAAGTGATTTACATTAAGTTACGAAACATCAGAAATACAATTGTTCTACTCATTGTGATATAACAAAAAATATATATTTATCACTTCATATACTGTTTTGAAAAACCTGAAAAATTCACATCTCATCAGCTGTTGGGGTACCCGGCCAACAGCATGAATGATAAAGTTAATATTTAAGTTTTTCGAATGACTGTTATAAAGGAACTTCGTTTTATACTGCGAAATGCTTCATCATTCTTAAATAATGTCTTTTTGCCTTAATCTTCTAAATTTGAAGTAAAGAATATATATATATATATATATATATATATGTGTTAGCCTTAGAACAAAACTAACAAAAACCATGGTCAATAAATTAACCTAAAGTAAATTAAATGATTTAAATTTAAGTAGTTTGTACTTAGTGAAAATTTTACTTTTTATATCTAGTATATCAACTGCAGTCTTTAGCTATTTAATATTTAGGTCATACTTTTAAGATGTATCACAAGAAACATTACTTCGACTAATATCAATCCAACGATTTCTGAAAAAAAGTATCGTATTATATAAATAATTTCTCCAATTGTGCTATCCGTCCCAAAGAAAAACCTTTATATAAGTCTGGAATTTAAAGGTGATCGAACATCAGACGTAATCAAAAACCGTTTAACAACAACGATTAAAAGGACATTTATTGCTGCTAAAATGCGAATAACCTTCCGCGTCTGGTCGCCTCTATGTGCATCTACCAGTTCACTTGCTCTTGTGGAGCAAGGTACGTTGGTCGTAGCCAGAGCTCGCTTTCAACTCGGACACGAGAACATATCCCAGTTTGGTTCAACAAGGGTGAAAGAAAAGCAGTTGGAAGTCCTATACTTGAACACCTAATCGACTGTAATCATTCTACGGATCCACAGTCTAATTTTAAGGTTTTTCATATGATTCATTCAAATCTACCTAGATTTCTTCGTATCCAACTCCTAAAAATAGCCGAAGCTCTTACCATCCATGAGCTCAAACCAGAACTATGCGTACAAAAGAAGTACGTCTTATCATTATCGTTATCATGGCCTTAATATTATTATTATTATCATTCTATCATTATTATTATTACCCCATTCCCCCTTTACTTGTCTTGTATTCTCATTATTTTATTCATGAATACTCATCATATCACCTTATTTATTTTTACACCTCTATGACCTTTAATTATTGTAACCAAAACATTTTCACTAAAACATATTCACTAAATCTATTGTGATTACTCGTATTACGTAATCTAGCATTATAATCTTTCTATTACGTCATCTTGGTTATTTGTGTTCACATTTCCTTACGGAATTAGTACTTTAACAAAACATTTTCATAGATATACGATTGTACAGCTTGATAATAAATCCGTTGAAAAGAGATCCCTTCGCTGAACGTCGTGTTTTTTTCTTTTAATGCTAAATATAAATAATATTATAGCGTTGTTTATTTTAATCATGATTTTTTTCTTATTCAAAGGGATCAAATGAATTGACTCGATGTTTAGTTCATCTTATTAATACGAACCGGGAAATTCATATTGTACCTTCGATGGCCAGAGATATCTATTTTATTCGATTTTCTATAAATCATGAAAAGGCTTGTATTGAACATATTGATTATTCGTGGTCGGTGATTGAAAAAACATCCCGAAAATTACTAACCACTCAAGTGAGTATTGCTTTATTTTTAACTGAACAGATTTAAGAAATAACTTTTGAAAAGCCCTTAGTTCTCTCTACTAGATACAAAACACTTGCCTAACAACTTTAGTAAAACTGTAATGAACGAGAACTTATGTGGGGACGACCGAATATACTCGAATACACAAGTACGGAATTTCTCGGTAAAATATGAAAACTATACGTTCAATACTTCATTTGCAAACTGTCTATCAATTGTCTCAAACTTCATCCTTCCTTCATTTCGAAAACAATTATTCTCAGTCCCCGTTTTCGTCGATTCGATCTTCGCAACCTTCTGCTACCAGGCATTTCACTAGACTGATGTTATATACTACTTATGCCAACATAAGTAGCACACATCACAAAACCATAACAGCAAAGCTAGTTAGATAGAACTTCTGATTTCTATGTTGATCAAATTTCTGTCTGAATGTCTATTGTTAATCTGTATACAAGTAAATATGAGCCCTAAAGGCTCATTAAATAATGATTACATCAGAGATTAATATCAACATCAAAGAACCCCTCTCCTTCCAGTATCAATGACAGGACTACTTTCAACCGTACACGGTCTGTTTTATCCTGTAAGGAACCTGTCAGTAAGAATGCAACTGAAGAATTATCCTATTAGAACAGTATCAGTGGTTTTTAACCTAAACAAGCTATAGAGATAAATAATTTGAAACAATCAAGTCAGATGAATCACTATGGATGGCAAATTTAATATCTTCACTATTGGCTACACGTGATACAGGATTTTTATGTAAAATAAGGGTTTTCATAAGCGGAATGAAATTGTGGGAAAAAATGTGACATAATAACAAGAGTGAAGGTCTGGGGGAAGATGCTGAAGGGATACATTCCTACCGAAGTCCCCAATTATCGATTACGATAATAAAATGAACCTAAGTCATTTTACTATTATCTCAGACAAACAGATAATATCTTCAAATATTGATAGAGTCGTGACTCGACAGTACTTGACATTCTCTTGACCTACTCTTATGCTATCATTGTATTTCAGAGTAGGCAGTGAATCAGAACGCATAAGAATCGTAGTAACTATACCAGTTGATGAAGGTTCATAACACTAATAGATTATCCATCTCTAAATAATGGTCTACGTTTTAAACCCAGTGTTATTCTTCTGGAGACTTCAAATTAGACAAGTAATGCATTTACGATATCTGTGATAAAATGTTAAGAATCTATGCACATTTGCTACCTCCATCAGCCAAGTTACGTAGCCGACATATGCCCCGTCTTCGAATATATGTGGGAGTATTTTTAAAAATCAAGCTAAGTTGTTGTTTTGCTCGGCTGGAATTCGACAATACAAGGAGCTTTGAAGGAAAATTTAAATCCGTAGGTTTTGCTTCTTAAGTAAATTCCATCAACACAATTTCAAAGAAAAGCTATTATATATTTAATAATAACTGAACAGACAATAATCAGTCCTTATGATTACATTCATGACAAACATTTATTCCTATTTTCATAATCTATTGAATGATTGGAAACTATTCTTTCCTAACATAACATGAAACTGGTATCTTATTTGCTGGTGAAGTTTTGATAGATGATCTTATGTTTGAAAAGATTACGAATTCACCTAGTCTGTGAACGGAATGAAGACTTAGTGATACAGTGACTAAATAAGCAAACTATTTCGATGTGACTCAGCCCCGCTGACTAGAGAGAGAAGTCCAGGTTCAGAAGAAGGAAATGTGTTCCACAAGTAGCCAGAAGTACGAACAACAACCATAAGGACTAGTCAAGCGTATATATACAGCATGAAAATGTCCTTCGGAAACGTTACAGAATAGCATATCGAAAAAGATAACGAACCAATGACATTTAAGGTCCTTCCAAGTAGGAAATACTACAAGGTGAAAATGGGCGCTTTTGGTGCGAAAACAAGAAATTCAGATTTCCAAAATAAAATTGCAAAAATAAGACATTTCCCAAGTGAGTTCTGAGGATCCAACATCCCCAACACCTCCCTTTTTAAAAGCGTACGTTCCAGGAGTCCACTTCCATCTTGATCATCTGTCGCCTTTGTCGGAGTGACCGAATTCTAGATCATAAATCGACTTGCCGTCGTACTTCTTCTTGTGTAGAGACTACAGGTAGATTAAAAGTATCCAACAGGATGTCGAACGTAAGATTTTCTTCTGTCAATAGGCGGACTGGGGCTAGCCGCTTTCGGTGTTAAGTCCACCTCTCTTCCCACCTCTATCTGGTACATGACTTGACCTAGCTTTCCGACCACACGTGCTTCAGTTCAAGGATCATGATTTGGTCTGTAGTCCCGAGCAAACAGCGGATACGCTACCTCGTATGGTAGCAGCTACTGAGACTTATTTATGTTTGCGATACATCAAGTAATAAATGTAATGCGTCAGTGCTACTGAGCGCTTTGCTTGTTACAAGCCTTCAGTTAGCTTTTTTATTATTTTTTGGTTAAAAATATATACATTATTTGTCACACAGTTACTGTTTGTCTTTATCAATCGACGAAAAATTTTTCATTATAGCATTTCTATAAACAACATTTATCTATTATGAATATGAAGCGAAATTCATACATTCCAATAAAAGCTGCATCATTTAGCGATGATCACACATCATCGAATTCGACCAAATTATTCCAACGTAGACATGGATCTACGTCTGCAGAGGAATCAGTCAGTTGAGTGGTGAAATTTTTCAGTAAACAAATGAGATTCACTGAAAACATGGAAGAATTGTACACTTAAAAAATAACGTAGAGACAAATTTTAATAAAAGTAGTGACAGTAATAGTAATAATGATAATAATAGATCAACTGATTGTTGACAAAATGATGTTATTAATAGCACAGACATATCTAAACTATAATAATAACAGTAATATTGTTGTATGAACTTTGTTGGACATAAAAACAACGTTGATAAACTTTTGTATTTTAACAACACAAAGTTATCACATATTATTAATCATCAACTTCCTATTCCTTGTTGTTACACATTAAGTTTTTCATTCAAGATGAATTGAGTTCAAATGAATAGTGAACTAAACAATCTCACAAACTTATTTCATGTTGATATTCAGTTTATCTTTTATTCCTAATCCATGGTGTAGCGCTTAAAATTTAAAAATATATCTGACTCGTTGGTTATATTTATTTGTCATCATTTGAATAAGATAAATAATATATTGTTATAAGAAATTTTTTATGTAATTATCATCAATGTTGACTTATTTCGGTCCAGTTGATTAGTCGTGGAGGTTAGTTCAAAGGAAGAGATTAGCTTTCATCACTCTCAATACACCTAGCTACAAACCAAGGGGCAAAAGACAGTTACTCCTTTTTAATTTGAGACTCCTTACTAGCTAACACTGATGACCCCAACAGAGATCGAACACAAAGCATCCAGGCCTCCAAGTGAGACCCCAATAATCATTTAGATAACCGGGTCGGAATTCAACTTCCAACTTGCATTACAGCAGAAAAATTACCTAGCAGTTGTCTAGTTGATATCCGTCAGTGACTAAACCGATATCGATACTCAAATTTTATCAATTAGACAACAAAAAAATATTATATTTAGTGAAGAATTATAAAAAAGCAAACATCTAGTTTAATATTTTATCTCACAAAGTAAAGCCAAATGCTTGAAGGCTACTCCATCGCCATTACATACTGGTTAGATAATTACCAAACTCCAGAGATTATTGCTTACAATCTAAAGATTGCGTAAGATCAAGTTAATTTCCTGGAGAAATTAACAGTACGACACTAGAATTCTGAAACAATCTAAACAGTATTTAACTACTACTTGTGAATAAAAGTCAATAGCAATGTTTATTTATTTATTTATTTATTTAAACACATATATATTGGTACAAAAGGGCACCAGATACATATGCGCCACACAAAATAATGAAAGTAGGAAGAGAAGGGATGAAAAGATAAGGCGGACTGAAATGTACAACCGGAAGACTCTTTCAGTTAAGAAAGTTAGAACCACTCTTTATGTAGAAAGTAAAAGAAGGTTGCAGCAGGATCGCCACTGGCTTCTATTCTGAGCCATATCTGATAACGTCTCTAGCCACTGTGTTGCACCATCTCTCGGACCCCAGCCAGGGAGTCGTGAAGGACCAACAGAAGCTAGCTCTTTGCACCTTTCTCTCATACCACGACACCATGTCATACATTGACCACCTCTCCGCTTTTTCCAACCAGTCCCAGAGTCGGCAAATAATGCACGACGTGGAAGTCTCTGGGACGACATTCGTAAAACATGTCCAAGCCACCGAAGCCGGTGTTTCAAGATGGTGACACCAATTGAATTATCGTCTCTGCGCCCGAACACATGATGCCAAACCTCTGCATTACTAACATGGTGTTGCCACTGTATGTCAGCAATCCTTCGGAGACAACGATGATCGAACACAGAGAGACGTCTAACATCCTCAATTCGGAGAGGCCAGATTTCACAAGCATAGGGCAAAACTGCTCTCACCGACGCGTTCTAGAACCAACCTTTTACAGCCAGACTAACATCACGAAGGCGCCATAGATGGCCCAGATTGGCATAAGCCGCTCTGGCTTTCATTATACGTGCATCAATCTCATCACTCACGCCACCACCAGCACTTATATAGCTACCTAGATACACGAACTTCTCAACTACTTCAATCTGCTCACCATCCAGGGTGAGTACAGGATTAGAATCCTGCCAGTCTTGTAGGAGTACTTTGCACTTGGAGGGTGCAAAGCACATGCCGTACCTACGGACACTGATTGCCAACTGATTAAGTGCTGATTGCATGCCTTGGGCATTATCGCATAGTAAGACAATATCATCCTCATACTCGAGGTCGAGAGGTCGTTCTCCAGGCAACATATCCACACCGCCATTACTTACATCCATCAGAGCTGTTTCCAGAATGTCATCGATGGCAAAGTTGAAGAGGAATGGTGAGATCGGGCAACCCTGTCTAACCCCAGTGCTTGAATGGAACAAGGGAGAAAGGTGGTTGTATGCCCTCACTCTGCCTGAGGTGTTCGTGTACAGGGCCTTTAAGATGTTAATAAACTTCTCAGACACACTCTTCTTCAATAGACAATCCCAGAGAACAGTCCTGTCCAACGAATCGAAGGCCGCCCTGATATCAAGAAACACTACGATTGTTGGCCTGCGATAAGTATGACGGTGTTCTAACATTTGGCGGAGGGTGAAGATGTGATCAATGCATCCTCGACCAGAACGAAAACCAGCCTGCTCCTTGCGAGTCAATCGTTCTCGGGTTTTAAACAACCTACGAAGAATGATAGAAGCCAATAGTTTGGACGCAATCGAAAGTAGACGTATCCCCCGGTAGTTATTGCAGGAACAACGTGAACCCTTTTTAAAGATAGGGACGACTATTGACTCATTCCAATATATTGGAACACTTTCTTGCTCCCAAACCTTTCCAAACAACGCAGTCAGTTCCTTAGCCAGAAAGTCACCACCATCTTTAAAAAGAGCCGGAGGTAAGTCATCTGGGCCAGGTGATTTATAACGTTTCAAGAGTTGGAGTTCCTTGAGGACTTCCGCCTCGTTTGGTGGACCAGTCGTCACCGGCCATGGGGGGCAGGACAAGCTGGTTGATGTTGCCGGAGCAGCAGGCCAGTTGAACTGCCCTTCGAAGAATTCCGCCCATCGTCCAAGACGTCGAGAGATGTTAGTGATTGGCATCCCGTCATCCTCGTACATTGTTTCACTCACACCAGACTTCTTGCTGCCAGTGGCTCGGATGAGTTGGAAGAGCTTCCGGCAGTTACCAGATGCAGCTGCTGCTGCTTCCATCTCATTAGCACGCTCCGACCACCAGGCTTCCCGGTCCTTACGCAAGCTTTGCCAAATTTCACTACGTAACAGCCTTCGTTTGTGGTCAAACTCACGGTCACCCGGAGTAGACCGACGGGCTTCCATCAGTTGTAAGGAGCCAGAAGAAACCCAGTGCTTGTAAGCGGGACGTTTCGCGAAGCCGCAAGCAGCTTTACTCGCCATTTTCATGGCGTCGTGAAGAAGCAACCAATGCTCATCTATACTTTTCGGTGGGGTGGTAGCTAGCCTAGAGGCTAGCTCCGCTCGATACTTACTTGCAACAGAAGTTGCAGCCAGTTTACTAACATCAATCCGTTGGTGGTGGTCAATCCTTCGGCCACTGAAAGGTAAGGTGAGATTGGCGCAGACCAGGGCATGATCAGACTCCAGATAGGTACTCCAAAATGAGCGGCAATCTTGTACACAACCACGCCAGCGGTAGCTGATCGCGATGTGATCAATCTGAGTCCAGGCTTGGGATGCAGAGGGAGGACGCCAGGTGGCACACCGGCGATCACTGTGCCGGAAGTTAGTGCTGGCCAGAAACAGGTTGTGGTCTGTGCACAGTTGCAGCAAACGGTCCCCGTTATCTGTCCGGCGACCAACAAGTCCCCATCGGCCACCTAGACGACTCTCTTCTGTGCCTAGACGCCCGACCTGCGCATTCAAGTCTCCGGCTAGTACTACAATGTCTGTCGAACGCGCTTTCTGGAGAAGAACTGTTAACTGATGGTAAAACTCATCCTTGATTGCATCCGGGCTGCAATCTGTCGGGGCATAGGCGGAGATGACGAAAAGACACCGTTACTCACGCCGATTTCTTCTCACTTTGATGGAACTTTCTAATCTAACAGCACATAACCGACTGTTAATGGGGATCCAATCGATTAGTGCTGCTTCAGCCCTAGCGCTTAGTGCGACACCAACGCCTGCAAGACCGGATGAAGATGCGGATAAGCGCACGTGGAACAAGCTCTTCGAAGTGACAGATGGAGAGCGAATCTGTAGAACTTCACTAGAGTCTTGAATACGGGTCTCGAATAGACAGCAAACATCAACATTAAGACTTTCTAAAGACATAGCCAACTCCATCTGTTGTCCGATCTGCATTAGTGTGCGAACGTTGAAGGAAGCCAGCTTGAACGGCGTACGTGGTTTCAGAAAGACTGCCTCAGCATTCATTATCGGTGGAAGCATTCACTTTCAACCAGACAGTGACTGGAGATCGTTTAGATAGGACAGATTTTCCACCATGGGCGAGCTGCTGCATAAGTTGAAAAGTAAGGTTACACAAATTGGGGATAAACAATTTGTGTAATTTATCCCCAATAGCAATGTTCAACGTTGTAAAAATCATATGAAGTACATAAAATCATTGAAATATTTCTTCATATCACCATAAGCCGCTGTCATCGATTCTTACTTAAAAAACAGTAAGTCAGAATGAAATACCTTAACTGTCAGTGTGAATTACCATCTATTTTACGTCTAATATGTAGATCCAATTAAAAATGAACTTGTAATTAACAAATCCTGAAACAGTTAAACTATTGTTCCAATTGTGATGAACACTGTTAACTCAAAACCACAGCTTATCAACTCAATGTTTCTTAGTTATCAATTATAACGAAAAATGAACAAAGTTCTTTTGAGCAAAGATGGATAGTGACTAGCAATGGAATCCAGGAAGCGCGTTTCGTCTATTTGATTCCCGAAAGTTCATTGCGACTAACTGAAAAGCTGTTTATTCTAATACAGTGTACAGAATAACGTGATGTAGGAACAGATTTACAAAAAGTATGTTGAACGACGTAAATCAAAAGTAGGCTTACATTCAGCTTATTATAATAATGCACAAGAGTGGAGAAAACCAATAATGACAACGTAGCTCCGTTTTAGGGAATCCAAACCTTTCCCATAGATTTGAAACCTTTTATCTGGTGAATTAAATCAAGATAATGTATAAAAACATAGATTTCCATCATCATCACGCTTTGAAGAGTTATTGCCAACGGTTAACACTTCGAACAAAATATTTCTCGTTATAGCGACATAACCATTTTTTTAAAGGTAAGATGTTATTCTGAGGGTAGTCTAATATTTCAGACATATAATTTAAGTATTATACGTTTCGATGTGAATATGACGAAACATAATCAAATGATTAACTGTTATGTTTTAAGCGATCACGAGTTCCCTAATCTGAGAACAAACAAAAACTATGTGACCAATAAGCTAGTTCTTCTGACGCATCCCAGCCCCGCTAACTATAGTGAGAATGTCCAAGTTTAAAGTGGGGAAAATATATTCCACTCATTTATATATTGGTTTGTACATCTAATTTTTATTAATAGTCAGAATAAGTCACATATATGAAAAGCCCCCAAATGCCCTGGTACGGCCGAGAATGGGGAGAGTCCACTCTTCCTCTCCAAATGCTCTCACATGGCCAGCGAATATATAACCTCTGTCAGGGAAGTCCTACTCACTGCCTTCTCGTGCCACGGGTGTTGTTTACGAAAGTGAGAGGACGAAAAGTGAATGTCCGGCGCTTTAACCGGGTTGGTGGATGTGGAGGATCCACCTAGGGGAGTTGGAAAACCCTGATTCCAAACCAATGGTGCACATGGGCTCCAGTATCCTGATGGAACGAATGGCAAATGAACCTGCTGTTGGTCACCGGCTACCATGGGACTGCATCTCCTCACGATGCTCCACTGCCTTGCGGATCAGACCTTTAGGTCAAAGGCTCGGGGTGTGGCCTCCTAAGAAAACCACCTGCTTCAGTTTGGGCACCGGGGCAGTATCACAGCCCACACACAAATAAATGAAATGATGATTTCTATTGAC